TGGGGGGGGGGGGGGGGGGTTTATCAGCGGCGGCCGGGCGGCGCCGGTTTTGTCTGTGAGGTGGTCGGCGGAGCGTGGAGCGGTGAGCGGCACCTGATCTGCTGCAGGGTTTCCACCGCGGAGGCGAAGCACACGTCTTTGGTGCTGGAGATGACCTGCAAATATTTACAGAAGCAGTAAGGAAATGGAACATTTAACACCGGTAAAAGTTTCCGGCACATTTTCCTCATCGGCAGCCCCCTACCCTCGGATTTCAGCTATATACAGTCTGCGTGGATCAGATTCAAGTTAAACCAAGTTTTGATTGGAAGAGTCTTAAATAAAGGAAGTTCAGGTCTTGACATTTTTAGAAAATGAATCTATTCAATTAACGATGTGCGCCTTTTTACAGACATCCCATTCGCGCTTAAATGCAGCATGTGGCTGTGAGAACATACATACACAACTATATATACAGGACTGTCTCAGAAAATTGGAATAGGGTGATAAAGTTCTTTATTTTCTGTAATGCAATTAAAAATTATGAAACGTCATACATTCTGGATTCATTACAAATCAACTGAAATATCGCAAGCCTTTTATTGTTTTAATATAGCTGATTATGGCGTACAGCGGAAGAAAACTCAAAAATCCGATATTCTAATATTTTGAATATATTGTTTTCTAATTGCATTACAGAAAATAACGAACTTTATCACAATATTCTAATTTTCTGAGACAGTCCTGTATATATATACACACACACATATATATATACACAATATATATATATCCACCTGCTGCTTCTCTCCTGGTGTTGGCAAGGAGTTCGGGATGGAGACGGGCCAAAACTTTCTGAAAACAGGACAAAAACAGGACAAAACGCGTTGAGTGGTTTGACCCCCTCTTCCACCCTCTGTGTTCAGGCACGCTTCGTGTGACGTACTGCTGGACGCCCAGGAAGGCCAGCAGGGCCAGGTCGGGCTGCTTGTTGAGGCGGAGGACGCACTCCCAGTACAGGTCGTCCTCCTTCTCCTTCTCCAGCGCGTAGAGCGTGAAGAGCGGCGGGTAGAGGCGGGGCAGCAGGGCGGGCAGCAGCAGGGCCGAGCTGCTGACCACGCGGCTGAAACGCACAGAGGGAGGGGGAGGTCAGCGGCCGGGCCGTCTGGGCAGATTAAGGGGGGCGGCTGCCGGATCTCCACCAGGGTTTGGGGGACTCCAGCGGGGCGTCTGGCTCCCTCCCCTGGGCGCGGTCCTCCGCAGGCTCGGGTATTAGACCGCCCTCTTCTGGCAGGTCCGGGAACAGAAACCTGCAGGGCACAAAAAGAAATACATTTTTAAAAAAAAAGCAACCTCATTTTACTCGGCTGGAAATCTCCTATACCCTCCATCTACTTCTCAGCGGCTTAATACTGTTAGATCATGCTTAAAGATGGAAAAGATTCTATTAACAGTAAAAGGGAATTCAGCTAAATTTACTCACAAGTGGGCACCTCTTATGATATACATAAAATCTCTGCCTTTATAATGTATAGATAGATGTGATTGACCCTTCATGTCATGTGACTTAAATTTACACAATAATTGAGTGAAGAGTTGTTGCCGTTTAGCTTCTCTATGCCGTCCAACCCCCCCTCCAACCCACCCCTATTTTTTATTTGTTTTATTTATTTATTTATTTATTTATTTAAATTTATTTATTTATTTTTTGGTTGTTAATGTATCCTTTTTAAAAAAAAAAAGTAATTATACTTATTTGGTCCTGTTTTTGTTATGTTAATACAGGGATTTATGTTCGCTACGGGGAAAGGGAAGGGAAGAAATGTGTAAAAAAGAAAACAAAAAATTCAGAGAAATTACATGACATAAGTTTTGTACAATGTATGTAACATCAATATATGTATGATCTCCTGATGAGCAAATAAATGATACACAGTAAAAAAATTAAAAAAAATAAAAATAAAAAAATAAAAAAAGCAATCTCAGCTTTAAATGACCACAAAAAATGTCAAAAACAGTCCTTGCATGTTTAACTCTCCTTTTTATCTGAAGTTTTATCACACTAGCAGTAATTTTTAAAGGCTCGACATAAAAAAAATGGCGATGAAAGCTGGTAAAATGTTATAAGCACACCATCAAAATCCTGTTGACCACCTTTAAATACAGCATTCCTGGCATTCTGTCCTCAGTCTCGACAATTGACTGCGGTTTAGCTACCTGATGATTTGGAAGATGCGACTGAGGTAAGACTTGATCTCGTTGACGGCCTGAGGCAGGAGCCGGCGGTTTGCACCCACGCCCACGTACGTCATCCTGTAGACCGCCACCAGGGTCTCCACCAGCCGGCCCAGAGGGTGGAGGGGGGTGTCGCAGGCCTGGAGGGGAGGGGGTATTCCTTAAGTACGATTTTTACTATATTTATATGGTATATCATATATAATATATAATAAATACATATATTAAATAAATAGGTATATATGTATAGTTATACTATATATTTTAAATATTGATTAACTCATTGGCTGCCGAAGACATCTATAAGCTTCAATTCAAATACAACCGTTGACTGCCAAAGACGTCTATAGACATCTTTTATGTTTTTTAACGCGAGTGGCTTGGGGGACGATCTGCTAAAGCTTTTCCGTAAATATCTGCTTATAGACAGAGTATGTAGTAACAAATTGACCCTCTAGGTGGCAGTGCCACTTTTGATGGGAGATGAGCATAGACTGTAGGCAAATAAGAAAAACGCAATGGTTCGCTATGAGAGAAATGGCGCCGTTGAGACGCAAGTCGAGGAAGAACAGAATAAGGTAGAAACAATTTTTTTTTCCTGATGAAAGAAGAGAGTCTACTCTTTCTTTTGGTGTGTTCGGTGTTTACATAGTCATAGCACAAACTATTCTGTGGCTCTTGAAAAATCAGTCAAAATGCTCAAAAAACTCTGGCAGTATGGGACTCTCTGTTCTGAAAATGGCTGGCGGTCAATGAGTTAATGTCGGTTGAAAGTAGTTTAATAAAAAAATCACTTAATAGTGACAACTTGGTAGAAACCCGCACATTTCAAACTGGACCAAAGACAGTCCGATGATGACAGTCAATTTTTTTTAAAAGAAAAAAAGGTACATTTTTCTTACTTTGAAGCGACGAGGAGCGGAACGCAGACAAAAAACTGGTTTATGAAATGCGGTGTTAATATCCGCGCTCACCTTGATGAGGTAGAGGCGGATGGTGTGGTATCTCTCCATAGTGACCGGGCCCTCGTGCTGCGGGGCCACCTCCAGACTCTCCAGGGTTCTGCTGTGGCTCCGGGACAACCCCTCCGGGCTGAGAACACACAAATCCTCCAGGTCTCACCTCCCCCCGTCCAGAAAAGAGCCGCTTTCGGGGGGTTGGAGATGAGTGTGTGTGTTACCTGTCCTGGAGGCACTGCTGGCTGGCGGCGAGGGCGGCGGCTATGTTGTCCCAGGCCCTCCGGTGCTCTCCCTGTCCCGGGGGGGCACAGCCCAGCTGACCCCAGCACTCCTCGAACACGGCCGTCCACTTATCCTCCGCGCGCACGCACACACGCCCCAGTTTCCTGCCACGTCGCACAGAGCACGCAAAATGTTAGACGACTATGCTACTATGCTGTATTTATTTTTTCCGAATCTCAATCTCTGCTCTTACACGGCTCTGGTCTTGTCCTTGTCGGCGTCAAACAGATGGGGCTTGAAGTAGGAGCCGGTCACTTTGAGGCCGGAGCCCCACTCCCCGCTAAAGGAGCCCTCGAGGTAGTCGCCGTTGGCCATGGTCAGCACGCCCTGTTAGACCAACGGGATATCGCATTGACTCGTTGAAAACAACAACCATAATTTGTACTTTTTTTTTTGTTTTCAGTTTATGCCCGTCACCTTTCCACTGAGTGTCCAGTCATCAGAAAACTCCCCCTCGTACCTCGTGTCGTCCTCCGACAGAAGGATCCCGTTGCCCTGGAGGATGGAAAACATCTTCACATCGAGCTTTTGTCAAACTGACTCATAAACGGCAGGAAAATCACATTTCTGTTTATTTCCCATCTCCCAAAGCTAATTGTTTAGTCTCCTTTATTTTTGCCTAAAAGGGGTTCTAAATTCTGAGAAATCCAAGTTGATGTTAGATTGTTGATATGTTTTGCACGGAAATAATGATAAGACGGCAGCATGTCAATGGGTGCAGGTTTTTTTCTGACTCCCAAGGGAGCTCTGACCCAAAAAAAAGTAGGCCGGATCAAACCTTAGGCTGATGAAATTAGTTTTTCACTTTTTAAAAAAATTTACATGGTTTAAGGAATCTCAAATCTGAATATTGCAGCTCTACTCTAATAATAACAATAATAATAATAGAAGCACCAAGCGAGATTTAGTACAAAAGAAAAAGGTTTCTATCTGTACAAAGACTAAAAAATAAAAACAAAAAATAAAAATCTTTTTTTTCCTGAGGAAAATGGACTAAGTCCTTGAGTGTGTTCTTCTTTTCACAGTCTTTTAAAAAACGGGAAGAAACTTTGGATAAAGTGGTTGAAACCGTGGGAGCTTAAAGGACGAGATACTTCCTTGACTTTGATCGTTGGCTTTCTCCTGATTTAAAGCGCTTTCTTCAGAGGTCAGATAAGAGAGAGATGGGGGGGGGGGCTTTGTGTTGCTCATGGCGGCGCTCACCATCATCTTATTGTCTTTGAAGGCGCCCTCGTAGTACAGACCGAACTGAGTGACCACGACGCCGTGCCCCTGCCGCTGGTGGTCCTGCCACATGCCCATGTACTTTTCTCCCCTGCCAAAAAAAAAAAAAACAACATTCAGCAGTCCAGTAGCGCTCTGACCAGCTCTGTAAGAGCTAAAGATTGAGAGACATAACACAAAATGAGCGGACTTTGTGATGTCGTCGAACACTCCGTAGCCCGTCTTCTTGTCCTGCAGCCACTGGCCGATGAAGACGCTGGGGGAGGAGGTGTTGAGCTTGCCGCTGCGCAGCACTCCGTGGCCGTGCCGCATGCCGTCCTGGAAGGAGCCCTCGTACACCTCCCCGCTCGCGTACCTGCGGTCAGAGGCGAATAAAGTGTTTTTTAAATCGCAAAAGAATGTCGGAAAAGCTTGATGTACGACTCTCAAATTGAAAATATTAAGTGTTGGATATAAACTATCTCAAAGTTTTGTAATCAACTAAGTTTTTTAAACTTGAAATTTTTAAATTTTCAAAGAAACTATCAGTTTCTGAGGTCTCAAATGAGTATTTTTTCCAAAAAGACTCTTTAAGCTAGTTTCCGGCAATTACAAATGAACAAAGAGGACGAATATGTTTGGAATGTATCCAGTAGACCAGGTTTTGTTAAGGTTTGAGGCTTATTTATACCTCTGAGTAACTCAGCACTTAGCTGACCGACACAGTTATCTTACTGTGGTGGTCAGCTTAGTGCTAAATGCATTTCATTTAAGATCAAAGTCTACCGACACAAGTGGACGATGAGGGGACCAGCATGCTGGGGAAAGCTGGGGATAGACAATCCGGGGTTTGAAGTCACCTGTAGATCCCTGTGCCGTGCATCTTGCCCTCTTTCCAGTCCCCTTGATAGTAGTCGTCCTTGTTGAGAGTCTTATTAGGAGCCACGAACTCACCGAAGCTGCACAGTGACATGAACACGTCTCGAAACGGGCTAAGAAGCAGGAGCTACGATTCTGAGGCGGCTCTCACCCGTCCTCCAGCCCGCTCTTGAAGGCCCCGGTGTAGATTCTCCCGTCGGGCCATTTCAGCACTCCTCTGAAACGGGGAAGAGCGAGCGGTCAGATCAAAACGCTCCCCCTCTCGATGCCCGGTGCGGCTCGGTCGCCCAACCTGCCGTGGGGCTTTCCGGCAAGCCAGCGGCCCTCGTACGTGGCCTCCTTCAGCCGTCCGTCTTTATAAAACGTGAAGGACGCCGTCCTGGAGACGGGGGGATCGGACCTGGGCGCCGCGTCCGGCTCCGGCCAGCTCAGTGCCTGCTCCACGGCCTGGTTGATGGCTCTAAGCCACTTGGACTAAGAGCGAGAGCATAAGAATGCCTTCATAAAATACCTAATATTGCCTATCTACAATGCTCAAGATCCCTATTATGAAATTTGAAAAAAAAAGACAACAACGAGAGGAAAAGTGGACGTTCAAAGGGTCACCTTCTCCACGGGAGACGAGGCCAGCAGGGTGAAGGTCTCCTCGGGCGAGATCACCTTCAGCGCGTGCCTACGTGCACAAAACAAACCACAAAATAAGCAGTTACACAGCGAAACTTCACAACAACCAGAATGAGGCAAAAGCTTCTGAAGATTTACATGCAAACATGTAAGTTATTAAGGGGTACGATTTAAACCTTTCACTAAGACACATAGAAGTGGGTCTATTCATGTGAAACATCATTTTCAGAGAGGATTTAAGGCTTCTAAAATTCTGAAACGTAAATCTATTGTTTGCTAATTCCTTGCTTTTCTGGCCTACCTCTCCATATTTGGAAGATCTTACTCAAATCTGGGATTAAATGGAGGTCTAAAATGAGGGGGACTGTGGATAGAAAGTCTTGGAATTTTAGGTTGGTGCGTGATTCTGTATGATAGGAGCAGCTCTGAGAAGCTAAAATAGTCAATCTACTCCAAGCCCACTGGATGCTGGCAGTCATGTGGCTTCTCTATATCTATACTGAATCAGAAATAAAGCGAGGATTTTGTTTTTGGCTTAAACAAAATGGTGACAGACCTCCTTAAACACAGGTGAAAGGCTTTGCGTGTAAAACTTTTGACTCACAGGCCGGTGTCTTCCTCTGGGATCGGCTCCACCCACAGAGTGGCCAGTGGGAAGATATGATGGGTGGAGAACTGAAAGAAAATGATGGACGGGGATGAGTTTGCATCCTTTTAGCCGGATCGAAACGACGTGGTCAGAGACACTGAACCGGACCTACGAGCTGAAGCGGCTTTTATTTGTAATTTCAGAGCCTGAATGGCGCTTTTCGGTCTTTGTCCCTGAAATTTAAGCATCCGTTCATTGCAAAGGAATAAGAGAGAATAGAGACGCCCAATATGTGGCTGTCGATGCGGGTGGATTGTAATGAATTGATACTTTGAATTAAATCCACTAGATTCATCAAGATTTATCAGGTCTTCCTAATAAAAGAAAAGAGAAATAATAATGGCACATCGGTCATGCAAACCAAACTAATTTCCCGTGTTTCACACGCATGCTTCGGCTCCCGCCAACACGACCCCCTCCCCCCCCGTCATTCAACAGATTCACATCACTTCTAAAAAAACAAACAAACAGCGTTTTGCTAAAGGAACACGAGTCGAGGGAGCTGCCAAACAAAATGTGCAGGACGACCACAGGATGTGTGCATATACGCATACGTATGGGGACACAAACAGGGAGAAAAAAGGGGGGGGGGGACTGCTTTGGAAAAGTGAACCGGAAAAGGTTTTTATGACACACCTCTGGAGAGTTTGTCATTGAGATCAAGAGTGCAAACAAAGGCTTCAGAAGGAGAGAAAACCTTCCTTCAAATGGAAACTTTTAAAAATTGAATAAGTCAAGCATGACTGGCTGCGATTGAGAGGTAAATGTATGATTTTTAAAGAAGACAAACGGTTTGAGCCTTGTTTGGAGTCAGTTCATCCTCCCATGCAGCGTCCCGCAGGGGGGGGAGGAGGCAGAGGGTGGAGGAGGGGTCAGGGCTGAGTATCACCGGAAACATTTACAGGATCTAGAAACTGCACCCGATTCCATTTCTCTGAATTAAAGTGCGCGCATTCCACGGCACCAATATTTCAGTTTCTGCCAGAAATGACGCCATAAGCTATATCTCAGTATAAGAGAAAAAGACAGATATAAAGATGAGCCATTTAAAGACCTGCCATCTTGTCATTTTTCTTTTTTTTTTAGATTGGAGCTCTGATTCTACCTTTGAAAATAAATGTCAAGAAACATTGGATCCACTGTTACTTAGGCTTAAATCTGTTTTTTTGGGTTTTTTTTTTACTGGATAGTGTAAAACAAAATGAAATTAATACAGAAGCAAAACCTATTTATTTCCAAGAAACCCCACAATTTTCATGCAAATGTCAACGGAAAAGGATTAATGAGGAATAAACTGATCTACCAAAGAAAAAGCTAGAATGAGTGAATGCCACGTGCACACATTAGAGGAGGTTAGTGACAAAAGTGGACACTTTAATGAGTTTTCCTCGGATTAAGTCGCTTTTAAATTGAGTATTACAGTCCTGTCTTTCATACTTTTTCATAAAAAAATAATTTGGACATAAATCCTATGACACAAAGCCCTATACCCTTCAAGCTCACCCAGACGGGAGTAAAAGAAGGAGGGAGGGGAGGGAGGCTAGACTGATTTTTTTTTGGGGGGGGGGGTGTGCTGGGATCTGCCCCTGGCTTTATACTTACGAGATTTTTGCAAGGCGCCACGCCCTGACAGCACGGAGGCAAGCAGACACAAACTCTTGAAACTCACCGGGTCAGAGTGTGGGCGACACGAATGTGCAAGAGGCATGGAGGGGGTATGGTGGTTATGGGGGGTGTGAGGGTGTGGGGGTAGCGGGGCGCTGACCTGTGCGTGCACCAGGGCGTCGTTGAACAGGATGAACCAGTTGACGGAGAACCTGCCGGCGTTCTGCAGGCTCAGCGCTTTGTTGCTGCTCTCGCAGATGAGCCGGCGCTGGGGCTTCCGCAGCGAGTCCTGCCAGCAAACGCACAACATGGCCGCCGCCGCCTCAGACCTCAGGCGCCCGACGCGCGCTCCCCGGCGGGACTTACCGTCATTTTGCCAGGGAAGCTCTTCCAGAAGTGGAAGGAGATCTCCGCCTCTTTCCTCCTCTTCTTTAGCAGCAGGGTGAGGGCCTCGAACTTGGAGCAGCTGTCCTGGAGCCTCCTGTAGTCGTCGGATTTCTGAGGACACACAAACGCGCCTTCAAGCCTGCCGCTCCCCGTCCCCGCCCCCATCGGCCCCCCTTCCCTGTTAGTACCACTTCGAAGCAGGTGGCCAGCTTGAGCAGCAGCCGGCCGTAGTGGTGGAGGTGGTGGACGGGCAGGTAGAAGATGGCGGACAGGAGGTCGGCCATGGCCGGGTTCTCCTCGCCGCATTCCGACAGCCTCTGGAGCAGCTCGGGGCTCTTCCCGAAGAAGTCCCTGTGAGGAACCAACACCGGATCACCAAAACGGGTCGAATGTTGCATATCGGAACAGGTATTTATGCTCCATGCTCCTGCCAAATACAATCTTACATATTCGAAGCAGTCTGATTTGATATGATACAGACACAATCGAATACAATACAGTTTTTGTACCACCATACAATACATACGAGAGCATACTTACAAGATGCTGATAATAATGGGAGTGGCATGTTTAGGTGTGAACTCACAGGGACGGCTTGGTCAGAGCCTGGAAGCCCCCCATCACGTGAAAGTTGCCCACAGCGCCGGCGTAGCTTGACGAGGATAAAAAAAGGTGCCATTTTAGATCAGAGCTCGGGACGGCCTCGCTCACCGCCGACTCTCTCTCTCTCTTTTAGCACGTACTGGTCGTAACAGTCCAGGAAGACGTCGGCGTGGTCCAGGATGAGCAGGCACTTGACGTCGCGGCCGCGCCGCAGGTTGGCGGTCAGGCTGGCGGCGTGCTGCCCGGTCAGGTGGCACAGGGCGCTGAACTGGCCCGCCGCGGCCTGCAGGAGGCCGAGCGCCACGGGGCCCAGCGCCGCGCTCAGAACGTCTGCGGGGGAGGACGCCGGGCGGACGAACGTAAGAGAAAAAACAGCAGAAAAAAGCAAGTGGGCGAGGCCCCGCCCACATCAAGCCCCGCCCACATCAAGTCCCGCCCACATCAGGGACACAACCTATTTCTTTTTAACGATGAAAAAAAAAAATTCGATTCTAAATTGACAACACACCACCGCAACCAATGTATAAATATATATTTTTTTAACGATAAAAAACATTTTTTTCGATGCTAAATTGTACCTCCGCCTCATGACCGGAACTGCTAAATTGTACTTCCGCCTCATGACCGGAACTATTTAGCAGTTACTGTTGAACCTATATATTTTTTAACGATAAAAAAACTTTTTTTTTCGATACTAAATTGACAACACACCACCGCATTAACGTAACGTATTTTTACGATGTAAGGAGAAAGAATTCAGTCGGAGGTAGTCTTGACGTATTTTTACGTGTAAAGAGTAGGAATTCAGGCGCAAATTCCCCCCCCTGTTACGTCAGCAATTCCAATATGTCTGTCCCTGACGTGGCCGGGGCTTGATGTGGGCGGGGCTTGACGTCAAGCCCCGCCTTCCCGCAGGATGCAGCGGGATGCTTCTCGAAAAAAGAGGAAAAAACAAACAGAAGACAGCCGGTGTTTTCTCACCCAGCTCCAGCAGGGGGCGCACGACCTGCGACTTGACGGCGCACAGCTTGCAGTAGAACTTCCTCTCGGCGGACGCCAGCTCGTGGAGGCCGGCGATGAAGCCCATCACGTTCCTGTCGGCGAGCGCCATGCACCTCTGCCCGCCGGCGGCCACGCCGCTCACGTAACCCAGCTGGAACACAGCCGGACGCCAGCGCGGCTAATGTTAGTACTTATCGTAATAAGTACTAACTTAGCTCTAGTCATGGAGTTTAGTGACCAGCCGACCAAATCCATGATTTCTGTTTTTAGGATTTAAGGGGGGGGAAATGCAGAGCAACGCTCTGAGATTCAACAAGACAAAGATAGGAGGCAAAGGAGGGAGCAGATATAGCAGATCTGCACTCATGGAGAGCCACAGGGGCATTTAAAAAATAGAAATTTCATTGTGCCCCCCTGACCCGACCCCCCCAAGAAAGGAAATCCTGGACCCGCCCCTGGTGTGCTTTATCTAATTGTATGAGGCAGTAAAACTAAACCTTTATGAACCAAAAAAAAATTTCACTTATCAGTTTATTATTTTTTATTTGTCTGTCTTTACTTATTTGTTGTGTTTTACGCTGCTATAATTTATCACTGGTCACAATAAATTGTATTGTATTGTTTTCAGTTTTATCATTTCTGTCCTATACCAAGGCAAATTCCTGGTAAGTCTAAAAACCTACTTGGCCATAAACCTTATTGTGATTCTGATTCTGATAAACAATTGCTAGCTACTTCAGTTGTATTAATTTTCACCCTGTATCGCAAGTGTTGCGCTATTCCCTGGAGATAAATAAAGCCTTTTGATTCTCTGATCTGAGTGTGTTTTGTCCCAGGTGCTTACGTTCATGCAGAAGGGCAGCAGGACCGGCTGCTGGGTGTAGCCGCCCCCCCGCTCCTCTTCCTCCTCCTCCTCTTCCTCCTCCTCTCTGCAGGGCCTGTCCCGGCCCTCCGTCACCTGCTCCCCGCTGTAGTAGATGATGGGCTGGATGCAGTCTCCGTCGGCCAGCAGGAGGGTGTGGCTCTGACCGGCGCTGGCGTCCCACACCCGGATCCCCTCCGACAGCTGGACAGAACGTTCTCAGGGTCACAAAGCACCGGCCGCGGAGGTTTGCAGACCAATTCAATTCAATTTTATTTATATAGCGCCACATCACAACAACAGTTGTCTCACAGCGCTTTCCAAACAGAGCAGGTCAGACCCTACTCTGAAGTTAACTACAGAAACCCAACAATTCCCACTATGAGCAAGCACTAGGCGACACAGGCAAGCAAAAACTTCCTTTTAACAGGCAGAAACCTCGAGCAAAACCATGGCTCAGGGTGGGCGGCCATCTGCCTCGGCCGGTTGGGGGTGAGGGGAAAGAGAGGACAAGAGAGAGAGAGAGAGAGGGCGAGAGAAGGACAGAGGGAGCAGAGAGAGGCAGCCAACACAGCAACACGTAGACTAGATGAAAAATGGCAATGATATTAATGCTAATGATGATGGTAGAAGTTATGACGTGGGGTGGGGGATTTGGGTTTGGTTGCTAACCTTGGCGAGGCGAGGGACGGTGCTGGGGGTCTCCATGTGGCCCAGCTGACCGGAGCTGTTTCTGCCCCACGAGAACATCTGGAGGGTGGAGACATCACACGCACATGTGACAAAGAACGTGTAAGAGAAGTCAGTTTATCTCTTGGATCCCATATAGATAAAAAATATCCAGTTGATCCATCCAGCTTTTGGGTCAATTACACGCTGCATCAATCACATTTAGTTTTCCACAACTGTCATCGGGAGGAAAACTTTGATTTTAGAGTTAGAGCAGCTGCTCACAGCAGTCAACGCAAAGAGGAAGGGGGGCCGCTTTCACTGGGAACTGAAACATCCACTTCCCCCCCTTAAAGCAGACGCAACAGTCACGGAAATGCAGGTCAAAAAAAGCTTCAAGCGGCCGTGTTTCTTGTGAGATGAATTTAGACTTCTGTCGAATGAGAGAGTACTAAAAAAAAAAACTTCCCTTGGCAGCCTGCAGCACCCGTATGACCGAAACCAATACCAGTGAAAAAAAGTGTCCATAATCAAATAAGGGGAAACAATAATAAGAGTGTCCTCTCTTTAAACCAATGCTGAGTGAAATAAGACACATAAAAAAATCAGGATGGCTTTAGGTGAGTCTTTGCCAGCTGTTCTCAGTATAATGAACCCCATCAGCACCCGTATGTGAGACAAACCGACCTGAGACTGGGCCGTCAAGGCCACTGAGTGGTCAGCGCCGGCCGCCACCCGCACCACTTCTTTCCCGTTCAGGCTCTTGATGCACAGCGGCTGCTGCCTGTAAAAAAAGACAAAAATCCGTCGGTGAACAAAACAATGAGGGCGGCAAAATCTGCTTCGGCGGGGCCTGGAGGGAGCAACTCGTCGTACCTGTCCAGGTTGTCCCCGTGTCCCAGCTGGCCGTGCTGGCCGCGGCCCCAGCTCCACACCTCGGTCTGCAGGGTGGGCAGCGCCTCCTGGGCCTCGGGGACGGCCCCGTCCATCGGGGTGAGGGCCACGGCGCGCACCCGGGGCCGGCAGGCCTTCCGGAGCAGGCGGGGAGACACTGCAGCACACACACACACACACCGCCATTTATTCTCTAAAAGTCTTTCACTTTTGCGCTTTTTTCCTGATCATCAAAATCCCCATCCCCACCCCACAGACACACACACACACACTTAAGCATTAGCTCGAAAAGCAGATGATGCAACCCAAAGCAAGTCTCCTCAGCCTGTGTGCAAAATCCCGGGAAAACTCCATCTATGGACGCTGGTTTTTTTAGGCATTCCCACTGATTCCTGTCCTCTCTTTGAACGACATCTAAAGCCTTCATCCGGCTCTGCTTTCTATTAAATCCCGCTAAATCCTGCTATCCTCTCTGTTGGGGCTGGGGTCCGTTGGGAAAAAAAAAAAAAAAAAACTGAAGATGCTTGATGCAATATTTATCGATCGGGACTATCTAGTAAATATTTAACAATAACTGTTGTTGAAGTTTGACCCCTTTGTAGTGATAAGGGTTTGAAACGTCGGGCTGTTTAACCGTTTCAAACCATTGTCCAATTTTCTGATAAGCATTCATTCTCTCTTGCTCTTTCTTTCCCCTCACCCCCAACCGGCCGAGGCAGATGGCCACCCACCCTGAGCCATGGTTCTGCTCAAGGTTTATGCCTGTTAAAAGGAAGTTTTTCCTTGCCTGTGTCGCCTAGTGCTTGCTCATGGTGGGAATTGTTGGGTTTCTGTAGTTAACTTCAGATTAGGGTCTGACCTGCTCTGTTTGGAAAGCGCTGTGATACAACTGTTGTTGTGATGTGGCGCTATATAAATAAAATTGAATTGAATTGAATTCACTTTTGGCTCTTAAACTGCATCTGTATGAGCGCACAAATGCTCTTGAAATGTTTTCATCGGATTTATTCTCGGACTGGTTCGATTTAAACTGAAATTAGAAACATTGCGGTGAGGGGCAAAGAACAGAAAAGATGGAGGAAAAAAAAAAAAAGTTTTCAGCCTGAAACGAGGAGAAAAGCGTCAATGTGCCAAACAGAGTGGGGGGGGCAGCTGTGACACACGGAAGCGTCAAACAGGCGAGCGGCGGCCGGGGGATGACCGCCGGCGGCGAGCGCGGGGGCCGGCGTGCGTGTGTACTTACGCAGCAGGGCAGAGGAGGAGGAGGACAAGAGGTGGACGGCGTATCTACCCTGTGAGAGGAGTCCCGGCAGCGAGAGGCGGCGCCGCGCTCCCTCCGCCTCCTCCCGGTGGATGTCCCCCGTGCTGCAGCTCTTCTTCCCCTGCATGGAGTCCTCCTCGCGGACGCGCCGCGCCGCCTGGTGGTCGGCCCGCGCTGCCCCCGCCCCCCCCCCCCGCCGCCGCCCCCGCCGGACGGCAGGTAGAGGTTCATCATCATCCTCTTCAGGGACAGCGCCTCGTAGGTGGAGGCCACGCGCTCGCCCACGGCCGAGGCGCAGGACGCCACCAGGCTGTTGAGCGCCGAGGAGGAGGAGGAAGAGGAAGGGGTGGAGGGCTGGAGAGAAAAATGGCCGCTCAGGAGAGATTCTGGAAAATATAGGGCACACCGGGCAGCGGCAGCTCACCAGCAGGGCGGTCAGTCCTCCGCCCGCCGCTTTGGCGTCCGTCTGGGAGCTGTCCGACAGCTTCCTCAGGTACTCCTTCACCGCCCGCTCGTCCGGATAGGGGGAAGACTTCGCCCCCGCCGCGCCGCCGCCGCCTTTGCTCTCAGCTGCGTCAGCCAATCGGGCTTCCTCTTTTTCTTCTTCTGAGTTCTGAGCATTGGCCGGGTCAGGGGTCATCTCTGCGGGGACAGGAGACGCCGCGGGGGCGTTGTGGGAGGGGTCAGACTCGGACGGGGTGGGTTTGGCGGCCTCGTCCTCGGCGGGCTCCACGCCCAGCGGGCAGTAGTGTCCGTCGGAGATGATGACGTGGTCCTCCTTGTCGGTCATGGTGTACAGCAGCTGGTCGCACTGGCCGCACGTGTCCACGGGGGGCCGGCGGGCGTCCCGGGGCCCCAGGCAGCGCACCAGGGCCAGGCTGTGCGCCCCCCCGCAGGCCACCTGCAGCACCCGCCTCCCCGCCAGGTGCTCCACCCGCCGCGGTTTCCAGACGGGGAAGACGGCGGCGGCGGCGGTCAGGCCCAGCGGGCAGCCGCCGCCCCACGCCCACACCTCCCTCTGAGCGGTCAGCGCCAGCGTGTGGCCCCCCCCGCAGGCCAGCTCCAGCACCGGCACCGTCTGCGCGGAGCCGCCGCCGCCGCCGGTCAGGGCCACCGGCGTGGGGTTGGGGACGCTGCTGAGCCCCGGCAGGCCGCACTGCCCCGCCGCGTTGACCCCCCACATGTGCACGCCCCCGTCCTCCGTCACCGCGCCGCAGTGGAAGCTGCCCGCCGCCACCGCCACCACCTGGTGCCCGCCCAGCGCGCTCTCCAGGGTGGGTCCGGCCGCCTCTGAGGCCGGACTCTGCTTCCAGGGCAGCTCCCCCAAACTGTACACCTGTCCTCCTGAAAAAGAGAGGAGAGAGGGGGGTTGGTTGGGGGGGACAATCCGGTTAACCCTTGTGTGGTGTTCGTATTGTTGTTACTCAGCCAGTGTTCGCGGGTCTGACGGACCTGTTGCATTTTGTGGCTTTTAATGCCTCAAAATCACTTTTATATCGAAACGCTTTTATATTAAAATACTGAACAGATGTTTACCTTATCTTAACTTCTCTCTCTCTCATCCAAAATCAATTCCAGAGAACCTTTTGGCCCTCGTGATCGGTTATAAGAAACCACTCTGGCAAAGCTGGGCCCAGTGTGGTCCCGCCCCCCCAATTTTTAGCAGATAGACAAATATGGGTCGAATATGTGCGAAAATTAGAGCAGACAAACAATGTGTGGGAACTGTTTCTTTTGTGTTTGTGCACCTGGGGTTCCCACACTAGGTTGCAACATTGTGAGTGCGTGTGCATGTGTGTGTGTGTGTGTGTGTGTGTGGTTCACAGAACATCAATTTCCACACTCCTTTTAGCCCCGGGGGTCCAGTGGACCCGAACATCTTATATGCAATAGAAATGTGTAGGGGGGGTGTACGGTGTGAGGGCATTAAATATGAATTCTGATATATGTTCTTGACAGAAAATGAGCCAAAGCCAGTGAGTCTCGGTTTGAAAAATGTATTCATTGTATCATTTTTCTTTTAGTAAAAAATGAAAACGGGTCCACACAAGGGTTAAGCCTGTTTGTTCCTTCTCTAATCTATGAAAGACAAAAAAAACAGCCTCACCTTCCACCAGCAGGACGCTGTGCCGGACGCCCACGGCCACCTGGAGGACCGGCCGTGGGAGGAGCAGCCTCTCCGGGGTGATGCTGTAGGAGTAGCCCCTCCAGGTGTGGAGGAGCCCCCTCTCCCCGCCGCCGTCATCCTCAGAGCTGTGAAAATAAAGCACGGCGTCAGCCTCTGACCCGCCGGAGAGAAAAACCGGGCCAACTTGGATAACAACAGGGAAAACTCGGCCGTTTTCAAAGTCTTTCTGTGCCTCCTTTCCACCAGAACAAGGGCCACTCAGAGGGCTGAAAACAGAAGTGAGCGGGGCTCCATCCGTAGGCGATGTCACATGCTGGTCACATCCAGAAAAAAACAGCAGCTGAGAGGGATTATCCTAGGACTTCATGTGGACCTACCTCTTCCTCTGGGGGTCCATCAATGGGACTTAGATCTTCACCATGGCCATGGTTCAACACAGGACTGCTGCTCCTGCTGTCCCCTGTCGCACAAAAGAACGTGATTTGATGAGCCCCACTTCCTCATATTTGTAATTAGCCTCATTTCTACTGAAGTGTCTTATGGGGGAAAACCAAGAATGCTCGAGGGTGTGAAAACGAAAGCGTTACTGAGACTTTTTTCAAATAGTTACAACTGGTGGCTCTCCATTTAAGCGAGTTATTTCCCATTTTTATCCAATGTCACGAACAATAATTAGTCTTGAAACAAAACGACATCTTTTGAATGTCCTCTGACACTTGTTTCCATCCGTTGGCTGCTTTCAGGGAACATGTTAATCTTGCTAGCTAGCGTCAGCCAATCACATCAGCTAACTAGCCAAGAAAAAAAAAAAAAAAACTCTAAGACAAAAAAGCTAGTTCACAACACAGCTGTCACAGCTTAGTTTTCAGGGACAGCCAGCGTCCCGTTTCTAACCTGCCGGCTCTTCTCGCTGCTCCTTCTGCCGGTTCCTTAAACACACCGTATTGACAGGTTAGCAACCGGCCGCCGCGGCTCGTTTTTCACGTCTTGTTGATACACGGGGAGCCGCAAAGATCGTCTCTTAGAAGGAGGAGCGAGTACGCAGCCAAACCAGATAACGGCAAAAAGGGTGTGTCTTAAGGTCTTTCCCGTTCATGCAGTGGGGGTTTATCCAGAAATACAAGTCAGATATGATCAATTGAATTGATTTTTTTTTATCGTACCATGCAGTTTAAGAATATGTAAAAAAAAAAACTTTACGTTACTTTATGAAAATATCAACAGAACTTCCCTCAGAGTGAGACCTCTTTATTTTTGCTACTCTCAGTCAGCTGTGGCTCTGGTAGTGTTGTTGTTGTGACAGTCTGGACGGAAACAGCGAAGGGTCAAAATAGTTGAAAAGCAAAAGTTTTACATTCAGTTCAGTTTCTGTTGGTAGGAACAAAAAAACAAACCGGATCCGTTTTTTGGGAACACCTGAAGCATGTTTTATCCAAGGGAGAGAAAACATGATGAATGAGTAATCACTTCAAAATTACAAATGAATATACAAACATAAATATTTAGAATAGTCAAAATAAACTAAATGAATCATGGAAATAACTGTTTAGTGTAGAACATGAGAATCATGAATAAAGTGAGACGATGGCATAATTTTTTTTATTTTTTATTAAAAAGTTTTATTTATTGTTCACAATGAAAGTAGTTTATATATTAAATTAAGAGAGTTTCCAGTCCATATTACAGGTGGAAATGATCGGAAATGACAAACAGAAGGGTTCCGTCTGGTGGGTACCTGCAGCCAGCTCTACAGTACAAAAAACAAACAAACAAACAAACAGCTATTTATTAACGAGTCAGACAATGGTATCCTCCATTCTCCATTCAATACGTGTACACCTTGAAAATAATGTTTACTCACAACCTTCTGCTTTCATCAAGTGCTTTTTAGGAAACTAAACATCCTCACAAAAACTCATCAAACACTTTTCCGGCCATAGGATTAAAAAAAAAAAAAAAAGACATGAGGAAGTTTTGTCAAATTACCATAATCTTCAATGAAATTGAATGCGTAACAATTACTGGCATCAAGTGGTCAAGTTGGAGAAGCTTTTCATCACAGGTGTCAAAATCAAAACGATTCCAGAGCCACTGGAAACTTCTTGGATCCTCGCTGGTGATTTCAATCCCTGAAAATGTTGGTTTTCTGCCTTTGCCTCTCCCAAACCTGCTTTCCTCCCACTTGTTTCACCTAAATTGCAAGCACCTACCATCAAACGTTCTGCTCATTCTTCCACTTCTTGAACCGTTGGGCTTTTTCTGGTGCATTTATTGGTAATGACGTGGTGCTTCTCCTCTATTGACAATGGCGTGATTAAAAAGAATAAAGGTTATTTTAGCAATGTGGTCGTGAGCAAATGAAACTTTGCATGCGGAAATGTGGAATAGCAGACAATGATTCAACTCCAGTGGCCTCCAAAAGGCCTTCACACCCAAAATCACGCTCTCTGCAGCCAGACCAGTCAGGCTTGAGATTTAAGGTCCTCCACTTCACTTTTTTTACTCCCCAGGCATACCCCCCCCCCCTTCCCTTCCCCCGGCAGCGTTTATATCAGCACTTTTAATCTGCTGAATCCAGCACTCCCCACCTTTCTGAACCCCAAACTCCACCTCCTACGAATCGGAGAAAACCAGCCGGGGTCTGAGAAAGAAATTGGGATCCAGTTGACCTAAATTGACCTTGCTGGCCTTAATCTTTAAATTAAAAAAATGTTTGGCTGATGCAGGTTTTCTGTATGTGCAGGACTTTCCCCACCCAGGAAAAAATGACTCCATCCTTGGTTATGGCTTCTGGACACATAACACAAATCACTTTTCGCTTGCAAGAAGGTCAAAGAGAATACTGTTTTTCCACATCATTACATCCAGGAAAGCCAAAACAAATCGATTATGGATTCTAGCTTAACCAACTCAGGAATTTCTATAGTTATTGGAAAAAGTGCCAGTTGAAACCATTTACATACAAACAAAACAAGGATTGCAATTAAAATACGGTGAATCTAAAACATTCAAATGCAGTTCTGTAATGAGGCTCCAATGCAGCCTTATTGTTACATTAATGCGCATTTAGTTTCAATAACAAACCAGGAAGTCGTGCTTATCAGACGCAATATTCCCTGGAACATCAGAGGTTGTGTTAGGAACAATCTCCACCCTGGAGGTGTTCAGTTAAAAATAGTAATGTGATCTCAGGGCTCCGATCCGATGATGAAACCTCAGAGAGAGAAAGCAGGAGGCAGGGGTGCTGAGGGAGAAAAAGGCTGAGAGCGGGAGTCCTACTCAGTCAGTCGGCGCGAGCAGCCGCTGGGAGGGGAGCGTTTGGACCAGCATCCTGAACTTTACGCACGCCGGGGCGTTCACGGCTTCTCTCATGGAGTGGAAAACAGAAGTCCTGACGCGGCTCTGCGCCTGCTGCTGGATCCTCATCAGCCCCGGTGAGTCACAAAACCAGACACCACACAGCCAAGCTTCACACTGAGTCAATGAAAAGGATTAGGATGCTTTAAATTCCCTAAAATGCCCCACACTCACGCGCCTCTGGCTTCCAGAACCCCGTCGTGGCTCCGTGTGCCGAATAAGTCCTTCATTAGACGTCTTGTGTTTAATCAAATGGTACTATTGCAAAATCTGGAGTAGGGATCTTCTTCTTTGTAAACTATTATAGTTGTGTTTAAACAGGTAACATTACATTGGCAACACTTCTTACAGACTTATGCGCAAAAAACAGCCAGCTCACGCATTCGCCTTCTGATTTGTGGCTTTGTAAAGGTTAAATCATTCTCCATTAGTCATTTAGTCAGTTTGGAACAACCTTGAAATCCTTCACGGTAACTTGACCATGTCAATACATCCTCACACTTATGTCCACGAAATGGACCTTAGTTTATACTTGATGGTTTTAGTTGTATTTCACACAAACAGCAGAATCATCTCTCTTTTTCCTGTGTTGTTTTTTCTACTGGTAAAGACTAACCTGCAACCTTTTTTTTTTTCCTTCTTAGAAACAGACAAAGTAATCACTAAAACTGGCACCACGCACCCGGTTTGTGCTCCTGGCCCTCTGTTTTTTTTCCACGGGCTAATCCGCAATGGCTCGCTGCTGATGCCAGATTGCTTGCCAGGGTTTAAAGCTTTGGACTGAATATGGTAATGAGGAATAGGGAGCGTATTTGACAACATTTAGCCTCCATTAGTGTCTGCTTATCCAATCATAAAACTAAACCTTGAACACCAGGAATTAGAAAAGGTTAATTCCAACCATAGAAATTATGCCTCTGATGACGTATCACTGCAAAAAAAGAAAAAGAAAAGAAAACAGAATGGTCATAAATCTTTTGTTAAAGCAGATGAAGCCCTTAAGATACTGTCAAACTCTTTTAAATCTTTTAAAATTGAAGATTGCTTCTCTTCAGAGACTGGTTGATTTTCAGTTGCAGAGGTGCAGTTTTTTTTTTCTTTTTTAAAATTGAGGGAATGAATGATGACTTCACTGAGAAGTCTGGATGGGGAGCAAGGCTGAGATGGTAAAAATAAAAATATGACCTGTGAGGAGAGAACCAGTCGTGAAGAGAAAGTGCTGCAGCGAGCTGTTAAAGCAATCGCTTCTATTTTAAGTCGGCTATGAAACACCTTTTGGGGCCTTAGACGTCCAAATCCAAACTCACCGCTGGTTCGCGGAGTCTGGTTTTCCTGCGGTGTAAACTTCAGGCTGGCTCTGCTTCTGTGGGCAGCGCCGGCGGACGGCTGGACGCGCGTTCACACCGAGGACGCCCTCTTCAGCAGCCTGTTCGGAGGCTACAGCAAGTGGACGCGGCCGGCACGGAACATCAGCGACGTGGTCATCGTTAAGTTCGGCCTCTCGATCGCACAGCTGATAGACGTGGTGGGATCACGCAAAGAAACACCCTAAAAGTCAGACAACCAAAAAAAAAAACATTCAAAGATGTACCAGTTTGACCAATTTCTACTTGATATGTGTTAAACCATCCATATAATCTAATCCCCAAACCGTCTTCCTGAGAAATGATGGGGACTGTTCACTATGTCTGTTTTGGTTCCGAAACAGGATGAGAAAAATCAGATGATGACCACCAACGTGTGGCTGAAACAGGTGATCCAGTCTGAGTCATCCAAGTCTGTGAGTGGAAACCCGTTTCAGTACTTGAGAGATGACCAGATCTGTGTTGAAATCCAACAGGAGTGGACGGACTACAAACTCAAGTGGAGCCCCGCGGATTTCGACAACGTGACGTCCATCAGAGTTCCCTCTGAGCTCATCTGGGTCCCGGACATCGTGCTGTACAACAAGTAAAAAAAAAAAAATTAAAGATACCAACGTTTTCCTAAATTCCATTTCTTTAAACAAAGCAGATTTCACTCCATAATCTTATTCACAGTGGAGAACAAGGGAGAATGTGAATTTCTGTAGGCGGAGCTGGGAAATGATCTGTAAGGATCAATTACCTGCTTGATCCATAACCACTTCCTCATCATCTGAAGGGGGTACGAGTAGGGAAGGTAATTTCTCTAAAACCAAGCAGCTTCTGTGGGTTTCTTTCCTGCATTTCAGTTGGTGACGCAGGCAAATTATGCTGCTTAAGGCACGTCTCTGAATCTGTCGCAGCTTCACAGGGATCTTACATCACATGGTTTTAGGGGCCTTCTTCCACCCCGCAGGGCTCCAGGAAGCATTAATCCAGAAACGTATATCTGGATGGAGATTAAACTTCCCCATCCTTTTTTGCAAATGACATGCGCTTGCATCATAACTACAGTGTCATTGGCGCTCATTCATCAAATATTAAGCTTCCCTTTTTTTCTGGAAGCGGGCACAGCTCCGGGGTTGATTGATTTCGCCTCTTGTGGTCGAAGCCTAATGAGACATTTCAGTGTCATTCGTGTGTCCCCTCGTTGTTTTGACTTTAATTTCCCCCCTGCCCCCTTTTTCTAATCTTTCTTTGACCCGTTCTCTTCTGCCAGCGCCGATGGGGAGTTCGCCGTCACCCACATGACCAAGGCCCAGGTGTTCCACACCGGACGCGTGCGCTGGGTGCCGCCGGCCATTTACAAGTCCTCCTGCTCCATCGACGTCACCTTCTTCCCGTTCGACCAGCAGAGCTGCAAGATGAAGTTCGGCTCCTGGACGTACGACCGCGCCAAGATCGACCTGGAGCCCTTTGAGAGCACGGTGGACCTGAAGGTTGGGACACCGCGCCATGCGTCTGACATTGTTAGGGTTTGTTTGGTTTTGACGGTTTGCTAGTTAAGCCTTGGGCTTCGGACGTTAAAAAGACGAAAGACACATTGGATTTGCAGTATTTATCGTGAATGTGTGAAATAAGTGGCATGGTGGTTGCCTCAAGAAGGTTCTGGGTTGGAGTCCCCGGGGGAACCAGGAGCTTTCTGTGTGGAGTCTTCATTGCTCTCCCTGTGTCTGCGTGGGTTCTCTCCTGGTTCTCAGGCTTCCTCCCACCGTCCAAAAACCTGCATGTTAGGTTGATTGGACACTCCAAATTGCCTATAGGAGTGAGTGTGAGTGTCAAACTGTCCTTCCTTGCTTCCTCTTATCAGGGGTTCGCATATGCTTCGCAGACCACCGAAGGGGAAAAAAACTCCCCATCTCTGCCTGACTTTTTAATTAGCAGAATCATGTTGCATTGCAGTATTACATTAAGGAGCAAACGGTGTGTGGGGGATCGGGTTTGCTAGGATCAACAGGAATGAGGAACTAACAGAGAACTCAAAACATCGAGAGCTTCCAAACAAAAATGACTGAAAAGCTGTTGTGTTGTGTCATAATAACTAAATTTAAAAAATCCCATGAACTTGACCTACCTGTGCAGAAGGCATCTATTAAAAAAAAAAGCAATAATTTTTCTGGTATTTACCACTAGTACAGAAGCTGTATGCTGATAAAGATGATGGAAGGCTTCAGCGATATGTGGCTATTAGATGACCCCAAAAGGCTCACTTTGGTTTTGTGAAGCGCTTCGGTTCAATCTTCCTCATTTACATAAGCTTAGTGATCGTGAACTAATGGAAAAACACAGCCCCGCAGGACAGATGGTACCAGTCATTCCACAGTTGGATCCTGTCTTTCATAGTCAGAGCTGCTCGAACGTTTGCTAACCTGTGGTCAATCCAGGAACACTGTCTTATACCCTAATGGGGTCAGGGGGGGAACTTGAGCCTATCCCAGTAGTTAATGGGCGAGAGGCGGGGTACACCCTGGACGGTCAAAAAGTCCATCGCAAGGCTACACAGAGACACACAAGGACCAACAACCACTCACACTACTGGCAATTTGAAATGTCCAACCAAGCTAACATGAAGGTTTTTGGACGGTGGGTGGAAGCCGGAGAACCCGGAGAGAACCCACACAGAAACAGGGAGAACATGAAGACTCCACACAGAACGGTCTTGGGTCCCATGGGACTCCAACCCAGAACCTTCTTGCTGTGAGGCCATGGTGCTAACCACCACAACCACCGTGCCTTCCTACAAGAAATTTCCAGATATTGTCCTCAGAACCTTGGGACTTCCTCTGGGAACGTTGAGTGTTCACACCGCGAATCTCTCTTCCAGGACTACTGGGAGAGTGGAGAGTGGGCCATCGTGGACGCCGTTGGCACCTACAACACCAAGAAGTACGACTGCTGCCGCGAGATCTACCCGGACATCACCTACTACTTCGTCATCCGCCGCCTCCCGCTCTTCTACACCATCAACCTCATCATCCCGTGCCTGCTCATCTCCTGCCTCACCGTGCTGGTCTTCTACCTGCCGTCGGACTGCGGCGAGAAGATCACGCTGTGCATCTCCGTGCTGCTGTCGCTCACCGTCTTCCTGCTGCTCATCACGGAGATCATCCCCTCCACCTCGCTGGTCATCCCGCTCATCGGCGAGTACCTGCTCTTCACCATGATCTTCGTCACGCTGTCCATCGCCGTCACCGTCTTCGTGCTGAACGTGCACCACCGCTCGCCGGAGACGCACGGCATGCCCCGCTGGGTCCGGAGGCTGTTCCTGGCGGCGGTGCCCCGCTGGCTGTGCATGAGGCGCCCGCGCCACCCAGCCCGTTCCATAAGGCGAGTACAACGGCGAAGGGTCCAAACGGGATGGTCAGTTTCTTGCTGGTAGTTCCAGAGTCTCTGCACAAAACAGGACGGTTGGTAAACGTGCTTTATTGTCGACACAAATGGAGACGTTGACCCTCTTTTAGCCAGGCCCGCGGCCCCAACAGGTGAACTAAGTGTGTTCTAATCATAGTTGTATGTAGGAAAAAAATAATCTACAGAAAAATATGGGTCACATATTAGATTTTTTGTTTCTGATCTTCAATTATTTGATTTTACCTTATTTGTTATTGTTCCCCAAACTCACAATCTTTCCTCAGTCAGTCTCATCTTACGGATAAATTCCCGCCTGAATCCACCTGGGACTCCCAGGAATCCATCATTGATCTCCAAGGTTGCCAGGACGACAGCGTGGGCCTCCAGCTGGATTCGTTATTCTCCGGGGAAGAGCTCAACCGCCACAATCTCCAGGTCTGTCCGGACAGGCGTCGTTCGGAGAGGTTTGGGGTGAGGACGGCCTACCGGGACAGGACCCCCCTCCCGTCTCCACCCACCCCTCGGCCTTTTAGTTTGGACTGGAGCTCAGCTCATCATCTCATGTACAGAGGGTCCCCCAGTCTTCTGTCCCCCGCGGTCCTGGCGGCCCTTGAGGGGGTGACCTACATCGCAGAGCACCTGAGGGCTGAAGATGCTAACTTCTCGGCAAGTGGTCATGGTTCCTGTGCATATTTCTCAGACCGTATCACAAACCTGTTTTTGTTCCGTACGTTAACGGCCTCCTCTCTGCTTTGATCTGATGTGACTACACAGGTGAAGGAGGACTGGAAGTACGTGGCCATGGTCGTAGATCGCATCTTCCTGTGGATGTTTATTCTGGTGTGTCTGCTGGGAACCGTCGGGCTCTTCCTGCCTCCGTGGCTCTCTGGGATGATTTGAAACCGAACCGGATTCAAGCCTGACTAATAATCGAATCTTATCAGATCAATAACAGCGTCATTAAAGCTGTTCTTGTACACACACTGGAGATGACCCCCAACATTGCCACAAGTTATCGCCCAATGACACGAATTAGCCACCATCTGCCTGTTCTGTTGATTAAATTTGAAGGGATTTTCATAATCAAAAAGATAAAGTGTTTGTGTTACTCTGTTTTTAGTGACTTATTCAGTCTTTTCTCCCATTCATATTCGGAAATTAATCATCAAAATGCAAGCCAATCCACTGAAACATAGGTTCCAAATGGTACTATTTACATGTGAAGGCCTTGTGTTACTTTTTTGGGGACTAATTATCATGTGGCTTGCTGTTGGATAAAGAAGCACCATCCATATGAGCTTGTTTAGCCATATTACCAAATTCGATTTACCTTTGCTTTGAACTCTTGCCAGAAAACAAACAAATAAAGGGGCGTGTTGTATTTTATTAAAACGATTACTTTAGGCAATGAACAAAGGCCCAATGTGTGGTATATTGTGACATCTACTGGCTCAATTGGAAAATTATGAACAAATAAATAAATCTCTGCACCCATCCCAAAACATTGTATTCCCAGAAAATATTGTTCACCACTTTCTTTTAAATTGTAAATACATACATCCTCAAATTACACAGTATTTCAAACTAATAACAAGCAAAAGACAATCTTGGCTGAAAAACACATGTCAAGTAAACCTTTAAGCAACTGGTGTTGCTTAAAGGTTTAATGGAAGAGTTGCACACTCTTCCATTAGAAACACAACTTGGACCCATAACAGACATTTTAGCATTCCCCCCAAAAAAGATCAATCATATAAAACAAAGAATATCTTGCAGCAAGCATTCTTCTCCATTTTGTTTGGACACCAGGGTTGCCTAATGGCATCATTTTTAAAACGGTTAGGGTTATTCTTTGGAACCACTTAAGGAAAGGTTCCACTTTATAATTGTTTTTTTTAACTGTAACCTTTCCCAATAATATTTCATAATGGACGGAGCTATTTTCATTACCAGCTGAGGTCACTTAAGCCTGGCTGTCAATCAGATGAGATGTTTGGAATCATTTGGGTGTACGCAGTTTATATATACTGCTTTGGCCAACAGACCAGAAAATTCAGTTTTATTTGACGCGTTCAATGCTGAACCACTAGAAATATAGAAAGATGCTTTCAGATTTAAGTTTCCAAAAGACAACTTCACTTCCACATGGAGCCAAATACGAACCAAAGAGCTGCGAGTTATTTAAGAGCAGTCGGCTTCATCTGCGGCCGACTTGGCATAAAGCATCTCCCCTCTTTTGGCGTACATGGAGCTGAGGGAGAACACGGCGTCGGCCAGGGCGGCGGGCAGGAAAGGGAAGAGCCTGAAGAAGAAGGCGTCCAGCGCGGACACCAGCAGGTATCTGCGCTTGGGCCGGCCGGACGTGATGGCGTGCAGCATGGCCGCCACCACCGGCTCGGCGTGCTGGAAGCCCTGCCGGCACGTGGACGAGAAGTACCCGGCGGCCACCTCCAAGTACTCCCTGTTGAAGATCCGCCTGCGCTCGGCGTCCAGCTTCGTCCAGATGTCCAGGGCGGTCTTCGGCCGCACGATGTTGGTGGCGCCGGCAAAATTGCCCGGCTGGATGATGCTGACCTGGGGAAGAGAGAGAGGATAAGACCTCCTCAGATGAAAAAAAAAAAGACTACATCTTCTCGTACCTCTGAGGTTTCTAAGGTTTCAGGACATGGTCTAACGGTCAAACCCCGGCTGAGTGAATAACTACTAACGCGTAATTACGCAGCGCATTTTGTTACGTATTCTTAGTATACCACACTTATATATCAGCTGCAGACTTCTCAAAAGTTCTTTATTTTGTCCCAACATGTTCCCACCTTCACGCCAAAACTGGCCATTTCCACCCTCAGGCAGTCCGCGAACGCCTCCAGCCCCCTCTTGGACACGCTGTACGCCCCCATGTTCAGGCAGTGGAAGAAGGCAAAGATGCTGGACACGTAAACCATCCGACCTGCAACAGGAGAAGCGGGCAGTTGGTCAGCCGGTGCCGGGCTGGCGGCGGAGCCCGGCCCCCTACGCGGACCGAGCTCACCTTTGGAGGCCCGAACCAGGGGCAGGAAGGCCATGGAGACCCGGATGCTCCCGAACAGGTTGACCTCCGCTATGGCCCGGAAGTCCTCCGCGGAGCTCCACTCGATCTCAGCCCAGTCTGTGACCCCGGCGTTGTTGACCACGGCCCACAGACCTGAGGAGGAGTCACAGCTGTCAGAACTGGGGCGAGGGACTTCATCGGTGCGGATAAAAAAACTAATTAGAAGCCAACTACGGTCTTTTCTTTATGGTGTAAGTCATCAATCAGCAGATCACTTCGGTCTGCTGGTCAACATCTGCTGGAGGTCCCACGGTCCAGGTGCAAGCAGTGGGGTGACCGCTCTTTTGCAGAGTGGCAGGACCTAAACTGTGGAACTCTCTGCCCACTGACTTGCGTTCATTTACTGACCTTGCCACTGTTCAAAGCTCAACTTAAAACGTATTTGTTCAGGATGGCTTTTTGCACGTTAAATCTCTGTATACTGGGATCTGTCACCAATGTGTTTGTCTTTGTATATTTCGATAGTTTGATCTGTTTTTATTCTGTAAAGTGCTTTGGTCAGCTCCGGTTGTTGTAAAGTGCTATATAAATAAACACTGATTGATTGATTGATCAATTGTAAGACAAAAAGTTGTCTTTTTACTTTTCCCGTGGAAAACCTACAGTTTTCCCACACAGGCGGAGATGTTCACACAGTTTACACCATTCTGACCCAGATGAATGAAAAACAGGAAATTAAGATAATTATTCAATAATTATTCAATAATTATTCAATAAAGTACTGTCTAAGTCTAAGTCTAAGGATGGATCAATTGCTATTATGAGTCAAACCAGATTCCATTCTATTGCACAGCGTCTATTACTTTGTTAGTACTATGTTATTACCACTCCCATTTTTTCTGGACGTTGTAGTAGTGACCCTCCAGGCTCACCTCTGTGCGGGAGGTTCCTCTGGACCGTCCTCTTGGCCTGCTCCACGTCGGCCTCGCTCGTCACGTCCAGCTTGAGGACGCGCAGGTTGGCGGAGGCGTGGCGGGCCAGGCTCCGGGCCCCGGCGCCCTCCGGGCACAGGCACCCGGCGAACACCACGAACCCGCCGGCGTCCAGGCGGCGGGCCAGCTGCTGGCCGAAGCCGCTGTCGCAGCCGGTGACCAGCACGCCGCGGCCGGCGCCGGAGCCCAGAGGCCGGCCGCGCAGGAGGTGGGCGAGCAGGCGCACGGCGCCGTAGAGCAGGGCGGCGGACAGGGGGATGCCGCTGAGGAGCTGGACCAGGAAGAGAAGGGTGATCATGGTGGAAGTGGAGCGTCTGAGGTCTGCCCGCCTTCCCCTCCCGCGTTCCGGGGATATAGATGGGCCCGATTTCACGCGATTCGTTCGGGCTTTCATGTGACCCGGCAGTCAGGGCTGCTTTCCAAGCTGTTTCCGGAACAAGACGAGGAAAACAAAGAAATGGTTTCAACCCCAAAGCCGGGACAGCATTTTGAGCTGATGTGTACTACACAGCAGGGAAAACGATGGAGTAATTTAGAGGGAATGTAAGTGGGAGCAATGTGCAGTCTCACTTATGTTTAGTGCAAAAGGGACAAAAAAAAAAAATTAGTTTTATTCAGAATAAATGAAATATATACAGTGGGGGAAATAAGTATTTGACCCCTTGCTGATTTTGCAGGTTTGCCCATCAGATGGTTATCAATTTGTATAAATTCATATGATGTGATTTTCTGGAATTTTCTTTGGGATTCTGTCTTTCACAGAATGTACATATGATTAAAGTTATAGATCGTTGCATTCTTTGTAAGTGGGCAAACCTGCAAAATCAGCAAGGGGTCAAATACTTATTTCCCCCACTGTACCTATATAAAACCTATATTACATACATTGTATAAATGACTATAGCTCAATTGAAATAATTCCCATTTACTAAATGAAAGAGAAATATACTGTTCTATAAAGGTGGTTTTTTTCTCCTTGCCTTAATGAGACAATATATTTGTTTTCCTCCAAATAAGAAAATTCCCTTTATCTCAAAAATATATTTGTAAACAGACTGGCCATGTCTAAGCGTGTGAACAATAACTGACTGTACTGCCTACATCAGGAGGCCCCGTGACAGCCGAGATTACCGCCATTTGGATTACCGTGAATCTGCTCCGTATTTTGGGTGGAGATTCTGAGAGAAGCTAAAATCAAAATGACGTAAGATCTTTCAGAGAATTTTTTGTCATGAGGAGCAACCGCTTGGAATCAGGAGTTGAACTCAGCTTTTTTTCCCTCTTTTTTTTCCCCCCAACCCTTGTCCTTTTGGTGGGGGGTTAGGTGGCTTCACCAAAATTTCCAAAGCAATGGCTGAATGAGCTCTTTCTATTTGCACACATTCAAGGTTCTTTTTTTTTGTTTTCATCTTTTTTTTTTCTTGGGGATAAAAATGTTAGCCCCTTATTAGGGAATAAGCGGTAGCGATAATGGATGGATGCTAAGAATTTTAGCTGAACTTTTTTGCACAACAGTAAAAGTAAAAGGCCTGTTTTTTCACCCCCCCCCCACTTACTCCCTTTAATTTGAGAACCTTCTCAGTAATGCAGCAAAGTCAAAGGCTATGTTCCAGCTTCTAGGAAAGGTGCCGAGTTTTCAATCTTCAGTCTTCAAATTTCAATGCAAATTTTCTTTGATAATAGTCCAATGTTTTTTCTTCCTCCCTAATGCAGTTGATGACTGAAAATCGCCACTTTTGAGTCTTTTAAATCAAGCTTAGTTGATACAGAAGTCTGAGATATCGGATTTAGCTGAAAACCCCTTCACGATTCCTTGAAAGTTTGTGTAGATGTTTATGTGTATCCGTGCAGCTCGCAGATTGTCCTGCTTTTAACCAACATTAGCAGTTCAAATGCTGGCTTCAACTGATAAATGGACTTTAGGAATATGCATCAAAGATTACGTTCCAATCAAACATGGTCCCAGCTCATTAAATTGGATTGACATACACAACTCCAGCTATTCATTAGATCGTGGGTTGTTTGTTTTTTTACTTTATCACTCTAAATCTCTGGCCATGCCGGTTTATGAGTACAGCTCCAGGCTTTATTTTCTATAACAGTGTCATACTCATCAGCCTTCTCAGGACAACACAACAACAACTCTCTCGCTCAGCGGTGCTCAAGCTTATGACTGACTGACGCACACTGAAAGGATTTTCAGTGTGCGTCAGTCATAAGTTTAGAAAACATTATGAAAAGTAATGTGCTTCGGTCCCCCTTTTTAAATAGGGGGACCGAAGGGTGTGTTCCAACTACAGGGGGATCAAACTCTTAAGCCTCCCTGGGAAGGTCTATTCAGCGGTTCTGGAGAGGAGGGTCCGTCAGATAGTCGAGCCTCGGATCGAGGAGGAACAGTGTGGTTTTCGTCCTGGCCGTGAAACGCTGGACCAGCTCTATACCCTCAGCGGGGTCCTAGAGGGTGCATGGGAGTTCGCTCAACCAGTCCACATGTGTTTTGTGGACTTGGAGAAGGCGTTCGACAGTGTCCCTTGGGGTATCCTGTGGGGGGTGCTCCGGGAGTATGGGGTACCTGGCCCTTTGTTACGGGCTGTACGGTCCCTGTACGACCGGAGTCAGAGTCTGGTTCGCATTGCCGGTAGTAAGTCGGCCTCGTTTCCGGTGGGAGTTGGACTCCGCCAAGGTTGCCCTATGTCTCTGGTCCTGTTCATAACTTTTATGGACAGGATTTCTATGCACAGCCGAGGTGTTGAGGGTGTCAGTCTTGGTGGCCTTAGGGTCGCATCTCTGCTTTTTGCAGATGATGTGGTCCTGTTGGCTTCATCAAGTCGGGACCTACAGCTCTCGCTGGAGTGGTTCGCAGCCGAGTGCGAAGCGGCTGGGATGAGGATCAGTTCCTCCAAGTCCGAGACCATGGTCTTTCACCGGAAAAGGGTAGAGTGCCTTCTCCGAGTCGAAGCGGACGTCCTTCCCCAAGTGGAGGAGTTCAAGTATCTCGGGGTCTTGTTCGCGAATGGTGGTAGGGAGCGTGAGATCGATAGGCGGATCGGTGCGGCGTCTGCAGTAATGCGGGCGCTGTACCGGTCTGTCGTGATGAAGAGAGAGCTGAGCCTAAAAGCGAAGCTCTCAATTTATCGGTCGATCTACGTTCCCACCCTCGTCTATGGTCACGAACTTTGGGTAGTGACTGAAAGAACGAGATCGCGGATACAAGCGGCCGAAATGAGTTTCCTCCGCAGGATGGCTGGGCTCTCCCTTAGAGATAGGGTGAGAAGCTCGGCCATCCGGGAGGGGCTCAGAGTAGAGCTGCTGCTCCTCCACGTGGAGAGGAGCCAGTTGAGGTGGCTCGGGCATCTATTCAGGATGCCTCCTGGTCGCCTCCCTGGGGAGGTGTTCCGGGCTCGTCCCACCGGGAGGAGGCCCAGAGGAAGGCCCAGGACCCGCTGGAGGGACTATGTGTCCCGGCTGGCCTGGGAACGCCTCGGGATCCCCCCGGAGGAGCTGGCAGAAGTGGCCGGGGAGAGGGAAGCCTGGGTCTCCCTGCTCCGGCTGCTGCCCCCACGACCCGACTTCGGATAAGCAGTGGACAATGGATGGATGGATGGATGAATGCGCAGAGCATCCATCCATCCATTTTCTATACTGCTTATTCCCAACGGGAATTATTTCCAATTCTTTAGTATTTTTCTAACTGTACTGTGTTTGCTCCGTTTTCATGTATCCAATAATGCCGAACCTGACAGAGGGATGGGGAAGAAAGAAAAGCAAAAGGAAAGCAAACCACAAAAGGAGAAAGATCCTTTAGGCAGAAAAAGAAAAAAAGAAAGATAACAAAACATACCACCAGCTGCTGTCTGTGCAAAACAATCCGGATGGAGAACTTATAGGAGCTCCTGGAAAAGAACACAGGGAAGACAAAAGAACAACAACAAAAGCAAAGGGCAGCAACAACACTGGTAGCAAAGAACTTTAGTGAGCTTCCATAAGAAAGGCAATTTTTCTCACACACTATCTCTCCATTTGAATCGATTTATGTTGAACAAAGAAACGCTTCCGTTATGTGTTTTTCCATTCGAGGTTACACAATTTTAAGACCGGATGAGAATGGGATGATTTCCTAGAATCGTCTGCCCTGGTGCATGAATCCCTTATTTATGGACACACCCATCTTAAACTATCTTACAATGATACAAAAGACAGATGGCAATGCAGGTTATAAAATCTTAGACTTTGGTAATGACCCCCATGGATAAGTAGGGATTAACTGACACAGGTGCTTTTGTAACAAACCCCTCGGGCTTCAGACTCAGACGGGCACCGGTTCTCTTTCGCTCTGCATAACTAGATCAAATGTGGCCTGAATTTGTAGGCTATAAAATATTTTCCAGCTGACGTTATCTGCTTCCACAGATAAAAAATTGGGGCCGGAGCCTGGCAAAAACTCGAGGTACAGTAAGTCTATTGTGCCTTTTACATAAGACTACGGCGTGATAAGAACATCAGAGATATACCTCTCACCTCATTGCCTACCTGAACTGAAAAGTGTTTGTCTACTCTTTTGACTGTTGAGAAGAAGGAAAGAGATCAAAATGACTCTGCCAGCTGAATCTGTGATCCATCATTCCCACGGAGACTCTCCAGGAAAGGAACTTCTGTCTCACAAAGGCCATAACAGATGTAAAAAAAACACAAAAAAAACACTTCTTGAACAAGCCTGTCTGCTTTTCTGCTTGCTTTTTGTGGACCAAACGCACAGTTCAAGCCTTTCACACGTTTTATTGTCTTAGTGCAGGTGTGCAGTGATTTTGACAGGATATTTTCAAATGCGAAAGTCATAAAATGCTTTCAGTTTATGAAGAAAGACCAATTTAACCCGCCCAAACCTACGCCCCAAAACAAAACAAAACAAAAATTAAACAAACCAACCGACCAACGGTTTGGTTTAGGTTTATTTGAGCAACACCAAGCAACATCATAAAACCGTCACAGACATTCCGTCCTGATAAAAAAGAAAAATCTAATAAAATGCTTTCTTCAGTACAGAGAAAAAACCCCACTTGAGCAGGGTGTAAAACGTATAAATAAAGTGGGATTGCCGCTTTTCACAGGGATCAGTCAATGAGGGGGTTTTCAACACTTTGGAATAGAAAGGCAACTGTCGCCCCCCTGTGGTAACACAAGGTCATTACAGATACATCTACAACGCAATGATGAGCTCAGTGGTGGTTTCGCTCAGTGTTTTCAGCTTTACATCTTTTGTGTGCACACTGCAGTACATCCATTAATACTTCTAAAAATATATCTATATATATATATATATATAGACCGTGGACTAAATATCAAACAAAAAGTTCAAATAACTCTACATATGTCACACGACATGTTCAGATACAGACATCAAAATCGGTTAAGGCTTTTTAAAAAAAAAAACTATTTTCATACATCAGGTAGCAGTAGTCTGATACATCTGCGAGTAGTTTGCTTCAGTTTTCTCGATTTTCTTTTTTCTGTTTTGATGAGTTTCAGTTGTTGAAAGCTGGCGTTTTGTCATCAAAAAAAGGGAACGTGGAGTTTTAAATAAGTCGTGAATAAGGCATGAGAGCAGCTCCGAATGATAATCTGAAGAACAAAAACCTAATAAAATTGGTTTCCTGAAACTTCTCTCTCATGGTTTGCTTAAATGAAATGTTTTGCAAAGCGATTACCGATTCGATCCAGTGTGTGATCTGTGTGGAATGGTGAGGTAAAACATTGTACTTCAGAATAACGTGTCATAATATGTCTACAGTACCCAAAAATCCAACCTTCCTGTGGGGAGTGCTCAGAGCTGTGCTACAGGACGTCTGAGACCACAAAGACCAAATCTAACACCCCTCCAACTTAACTGTCTTTTTTCGTTGTTGATTTTTGTTGACCGTTCTGATGGTGGACTTCTAAACGCCCCCCCCCTCATCAGGTCTCCACTTTGCCGTAGGTGCCTTCGGGGGGGCGGTAGTGTCGGGGGAAGGCCTTGAGCTGCAGCGAGTTGAAGGCGTACTTTCGGCAGCCGACGTTCTTCACGGTGTTTTCCCGCCGGCAGCCCTCGCTGTGGAGACAGAGGGCAGGAGGGGTGACCAGGCGGAATGAGAGCAAAAGAAAAAGCAGGCGGGATGAGCGCTCCAGCGAATGGAAAATAAATAAAAAAAGCCCCAAAACAAACGAAAACAAACACTGGACAACAACAAAATGCTGGAGTTGTTCCCTACCCCCCACCCCAGAAAGTAAAAATAAATAAAAATACTGGACAGCAAGATGCTACAGTTGGCAAAACTACCCCCCCCCCCAAAAAAAAAAAAAAAAAAAGCTTACACAAATTGACAGATATATAAAGGACGAGCTGATAAAACCAAAGTAATACATGGAAAGGTAGGCTGACTTTTGGTCAATAGACGGAAATTCTGCCTTCACCCCTTTCCCCTTTTTTTTCAAATTGAAGCATCATCATCATCCATAAACCTGAAGCAGTTCAAAAGCAGTGAGACAAAGGACGGAAACACAGGCAAGTCGGTGCATTCCGCAGGTGGAGGCACAACAACCTTTATTTCAGCAGGCGCCTGACTGCTACAGCACACAGACGGGAGCTGGAGTCGGGTTTGGGATACATTTGGGGCAGAATGAACGTAAAGTTACTTCCAGGTGTCACACTGCTGACTTGAGGTATGGGTGTTAAAGTGTTGGCTCTTTCTGGGCTGCACAATAAAGAAGAGAAAAGCTGCAAAACAAGTGGAGAGTCATAATTTTCTTTAGATAAAAAAAAAAAAAATCTATTGTCTTACCTTTCTTACAAATCACTATAATAAAAAACATAAACAATGTTAATAAACCATTAGAAATCTCTCCCAAGAACCTGATTGCATGATATTATGGACACTTTGTGGTTTGCAGTTAGCAAATATGAGCTTTTTTAACACGATAAATGTTCATTTTCATGCGAAATATAACTGAAATACTTTCACACCATTATTCAACAATGAGCGCATAGGTCAAATAATCCAATGATCTGCTTATGATCATAGTAAACACAGACATATAAATATGCATTTAACAGTGAGATTGTAAATACTGGACAGTTGCGGCACAAGCAAAAAGTAACCATACGGACTCTCCTTTGGAATTAAAAGTATACGACAGTAACAACACAATCAATACTGCATTTGCGCAAAACAGTTCTTCATATACAATTTATGTGCAACGTACAAATATATTCTCTGATACATCTGGATTTGGTAGATGGGGGATGACGTCATCACAAACATGTTCTTTCAGATTTGTGACAACATCATGGATATTTCTGGGAGAAACCCCTTTAACTTGGACACCAAGGCGATTAAGGAATAAGTTACTATAACATGCAAATAATAATCTCAAAAAGACATGATAAAAAAAGTCAATTAAGGATGGTCTTTAACTTTAAACAAATCAGTATCTTGCTCTGTCTTGCAGAAAATGTACATCAAACTTAGCTACCCCCATTGGCCAGTTAGTTTAGACCCCATTCTATTGTTTGTATTGATTTCTTTTCTCCCTTTTTACCATTTTTGCACCAATTCATATAAATACACTTCAGAGAGGTCCTTTTCACTTTGGACAAAGAAGAAGAGGTTGAAGTTTCGCCAATAAATGCAACCTTCAGAAGGATAACTTACCAATTAGCTTAGCTTGGCAAGGTTAGCCTGTTGCAGCAAGCTTTGCTCCCTCCAATATAAAAATAAACAAATAATAATTATATATAGAAGTTGATTATCTTTTATCATTTTAAAGCTAATTAGTGATAAGACCATTCCAGGCTTATTCAATTTCCAAAAATTTACATGAAAAGGAAGATAAGAATGTGTTTGATGAGATTAGCGTGATTCGGCTAACAAGCCTCTGGCGGTAGCTTTACGACAACTGATATACGACGAAATCTGTCAAATGTTGAACATTAACATTTGTAAATCTACTCAACTAAACACAGAAACAACCCATGTAATCTCTTTAAATGATTGTGTTGACTATATGATGCGATTGTAGTCTTAATGGTTAAGGTTTAAGCCCCTTAAAGTGCTCATGCGGACATAAAATAAACTCTGGAAGAAAATGTCTTCTATCAGTTGGAGAAAACTGATAATTATTCTTAATAATTAATTCCACGTGGATCATCATAGTGTAGTGGATAGGTGTTAGAAGCCATCAGAGCAGAAAAAACCCCTAAGACGACTATTTTTGGTCTGATCCAATTCGGTGCTGGGTCGATCTTAATGATACTCTCAGAGTGGACGCCATATTGATTTTCACGTTACAAATAAAGAAGCCTGAGTGACTCAGCTTTCCTTTCTAAATACATTTTCGCAAACTTTCAATCATTTTCCAATCTCCATGCTCCAAAACCTCTTATCATTTCACATTTTCTATTTATGCTTCAGCAGAAATTGAGTGTTTGGGCTCAGATGGTGTTTCTGGGCTTAAATCGAACATCATAGCTGCAAAACTGCAACTAAACAAATATTTATAGTAACAATGTGTACGAATGCAAAAATAAATCACGACAGATCGTTTTAAATCTAACGCTTTGTACAAAGTATATAAATGTCAAAATACACCCGATTAGCAGACTGAATGAGGTGCATTTTAACAATCACCTCAGCAGCTTCCTAAAAATGAAAACTCCTCTTAGGAATATCATTAACTTTAGAGATCTGGGTTGTTTAGTAAAATCTTGAGTTTAACATTTGAAAAAGACAGAAGGAAGCGAAAATAAATTGCCTGAGAGGGAAAGAAAGTAATTTTATGTCCTTTCTAAGAGGAATAAACCAAAGAAAAAAACTAAAATGGTTGAAGCTACAACGTTACACCTCTATCTGGGCTTAAACTCAAGCAAACACCTGCATTTAGCTAATAAATACCTGACTTTAGCATTTGGCACAAGCATGAACACATCCATTGTCCATCTACAAATTCAACTCTACATAGATCAAACTAAAAACCTTCACCCTGTGAATCTATAAAGCTAGTTTACATATAAGCTCTGAAAGCTGTACAACCTGAAGCACTACTCTGCATAATCGAACCTATTTCGCTTGGATATTCAACAATCCTACATTCCGACGGTGGACAGTTGAGAACCCGGATCCTCAAGATCCCCAAAAACATCAAAAAGAGTTAACTTCGCCAATCCTCATGGCATGGGGTCGCTCACTGACTCGCTTTGGACCAAACACACATCAGTGAGCCAAGCGGGAACATCGCAAAAAGTCTGAGTGTGGGGAAAACAACCTTGGATTCTCCAAATTTAATCTATTTCTGAGCTATAAACCAGCATCATCACGCCTTTTTTTTTAAGGTCAGAGTCAATGAGTGTTGATCTTCGGGACTTTTAAATTAAAATTCTCTGGCTGTGAAAAAAAGGATGTTCAAAGTAGGAACTGGGCTGTGAGAGATGTAAATGACGAGCAATTTTCTCTTGGCAGTGGGTGCAGGAGAGGCTCCTTGTGTTGATATTGATCAGTAAGCGAGTGGAAACATATGTACAGGTCAGCAGACCTCTCACTCTGCACCAGTGTTCAGACGAATTCCTCCTACTTATTTCTTTTCTCACAGGGCGGTTTAGCCATTCCTCGCCGAAGGCGACCAGTAAGCAAGTATTAGGGCCCTGTGGGTCATGGATTATTATTCCAGCAACTTTTTTTGCAGGATTAATAATGCGGTTCTGGACTTTTGCATCAGGGCTTTTTACACAATAAATATTTAGTCTTAAATTTATGATGAGGGTAAAACTGGAGAGTTTGGAGTTCGAACAGGTTTAATCTAAGCAGTCAGTGAACGACCCAGACTTTCAAAGTGCAGAAGCCAAAACAGAAGGGCGAAAAAAAAACACACTTTCTATTCTTTATAGAAAAGCAGGAAGACCCTAATGGAATAAAAACAAAGACATAACGATGTACTGCAAACTGTTTTGTTTTTTTGGCATGAAGTAAAAGCTTTAGTTTTTATGCCAGCCTGAAAGGCGAGTGCCAAAGCACATGGAAGACAATACTGAGCGTAAAGCGGAAATTACAAAAGCTACCGTTTGTCTGGATCTTTCATAGATAAACTCTGAGAGCGTTCTGTGGTCGGCAAAGGTGGACTTAAGACGACTAAGAATAAGGCAAAGGGACAGTGGGACCACAAGAGGGAGCTGTTTGAGAAAAAAAAAGAAGCAAACCTCACAGTAAAGTTTATACTGGCAGACTTTACACTGTGTGTTAAACTTTCTATGGAAATGCAAAATGCTCTGGAACGAAAAGCAGCTCTGCTCTTGAAGCAGCTCAAACTTTCTTTCTTTCTCAAAGTTTGAGATTTTAGCTCTAAAAGACTCATTTAAGAGCGAACGCTTGTACTCGAACTGTTGGAGGACGTCGCGGTGAGAAAACAAAGAGGGAGTTATTGCTAAAGTGGCAGCATTAATGAGAGCAGGGACTGGAATACAAGTATGTGAGCAAGTTACTGGGGAGTGTGGGGAAGGATGACGGTCTTCTTACAGGCTCTTCTTACCCGGTTTGTCCCGGGTTTACTGTCCAAGCAGCAGGGAAAAAACCAACACGTGGACGGTGTTAGATGGAGCGTCGGTCGAGTGTAGCCCTTGGTCGAGGCTGGGTGGTGTGTGCGTGGATTCCCCACACACACACACGCACCCACTCACTCACAGGACGGTGGCACAGTTTCAGAAACCCCCCTGGAGGAGTCTGGGAGACCCAGTCACAGTCCCCCACCCCCAACCCCCCCGAGTGGGAGCAGCCGCCGGCCGTTCAGCCGCAGCGCAGTTTGGCCAGGAAGTACGCCACGCTGAGGAAGATCCACACCATCAGGAGGTTGGGACTGAGGGCCAGCAGCGGCAGGGAGTACATGAGGCTGGGGTCCAGCCGCAAGTCGCGCACCGGCAGCAGGCCGCTCAGGTTCTTCTGGACCACCCCTTCCCTCGTCCCAACGCTGGGGGGGGGGGGGGGGAGGAGGGGGGGGGGGGGGGGGGGACGAGTAGGGGGGGGTGGAGCAGCAAACAAGGTCGGACGGAGGGAGATGAAAAGCCATGGACGAGGAGGGAGGAGATAAGAAGGGAGGAAGCAAGGAAAGAAAGCGGGCAGCGAGTGTCAAAGCGGGGGGAAGCCAAATAAACCAAAAAAAAACAACAAAAAAACAACAACAACAAACAGATGGTGGGTGCATATGGCGGCACAGAGGTGAGGTGGCAAAGTCAGCGGCGTGTCCAAAAAAACAACAAATAATCACCAGGACGTGGTTTGCACAAAGCAAAACCAAAACAACGGCCACAAAACGACAGTCGGGGCAAAACCGATTCAACAAAATGGAAACAATCGGAGGAAACGCCAACCGGCGAAATGAGCCCATTGTACAAAGAAAACATAGCCCAAACAAATAAATAAAATAAAATAAATAAAATGTCACGGGAAACAGAGGAGGAGGAAAAAAGAGAAGAGAGGAAAAAAAGGAGAAATTAAGAAAGATGCTCTTTCAGAGAGAGAAAGAGGGAAATACAGCAAATGCTCACCATGTTTCTAACTCTAAGACATGGGATGCAGGTGGAGGGGGGGGGGGGGGAGGCGGGGGGGTAGGTGGCAGTAGTAGTAATGCATGGTCATGGTTCCACAAATGAAAACCAACACCCGTCATTTTCGAAACTTCCTCTTTCAAAAGAACAGAACAAAAGTTCACGGATACCAGTGCATGCACCCGACTGGGCGTAGGGAGTCTCTTATCCATTCGTCCACTTTAAAGCAGTGAGGGACGGAAAAGGAGGAGGAGGGGGGGGGTAAGAGATGGGATGGAAGGGGCCGACGCCGCCGAGCTTTTCTCTGGCGTGCGTCTGTGTTTCATGCACGGCGGCTGATGGAGGCAGAGGAAAGAGAGAGAGAGGGGGGGGAGGAAGAAGAGGAGAAGGAGAGAGATGAGGAGAGGCGCTACAGGGGCATGCGGGCGTCAGCGGGGCCAGCAGAGCGAGTCCATCTCTGCCAGCACAGGGATTTGCACCAGAAACTCACACTGGCAGATCTACGTTTACACACACACACACGCGTACACACACACACACACACACACGCACGGATATGTCTAAAGAGGCATTAAAGTTGGAAATCTCATCGACTGTGGATCGATATCAATAAGGCTCCATTTCTCTATCAACTCCCAGCACGGCCCGGCCCGGGCTCCACGTCTCCGGCCCGCTGTCTCATGGATAGCTGACCATTTCAGCTGCTGAAGGTCATTTCTCTCCCTTTGGTGTCTGAGCAACCTTCCTATTTGTTTACTTCTTCCAATCCTGTTTTGTCATGTTTTACTGCCCTGCAGCGTCTTTGTTTCGTACTTAAATAAAGATCGACTATTTCTGTTTGGTAGCTGTAAATGAAACTGGAAAGGAAATGCCAAAATGCTGCACCTACACGCCAAGGCAGGACTCCAAAACACAAATAGAAAGAAAGATAAACTATAAATGCAGCCAACTTCCCTCCAGGCATTCATTCATTCAACTTTTTTTTTTTTTAGGTCTGATTTTACATGATTTTTCATGTTGCTCTAAAACGGCTTAATTTGGATCTAAGGAATTTCTGTACGTTTCATGATCATATGAATGCAAACAAATGTTTTTTTTTTAAACTCATTCTCAACCAGGGTCAAGAAACTATCAAGAACAAGTGACTCTATACTTATATCTGTGCTGTTAGGGCCGGACATCTAATGGACATTTCCGGTGCCGCCTTCTGGGTTTCTGCTCAATTTCTATTTAAATGACGGTTAAACTGCAGAAAGGAGAGAATCCTTCCGTTTCCCCCCTTTGCTGCGACAGCTCTGCATACCTGCGCATACAGTCCAGGGCCTGCGTGAAGACCTGGGGCGCCATGCCGTGCTCGTGCTGCAGGATCAGGCACTGCTCCAGCGTGACCGACATGGCCGTCCGGTCTTTGGCGCTTTTGCAGCTGGTGAAACGAACGCCGTTGAGCCGCCGGCAGATCTGAGACGAGACCATTTGGTTAAACTTTGAAGTAGATTCCTCTCTCTCTCTTTTAAAATCCTGCTGGCATCCATTGAAGTTTAAGCGGTTGTTTTGTGGACGGGGCTTCACCTCGGCAGCCTGCCACAGGATGTCCACGTTCTTGTTCTTCCTGGCGCTGACGTTCTGCCCCAAAAACCTCAGCAGCTCGGGAAGACAAGTCTGAGAGCGAGACCTCGGGAGGCCTGAATATAGGCACGGAGAAAACACAAGTGAGGATACGGGCAGCGGAAGAAGCTTAAGGTGACCAGAAAGCAGGAACAAAATAAAAAGAACCCTTTGGATTTCGCTGCCTCCATTTGGAATGCAGCGACAGACAAAACGCCTCGAATCCTCACAGAAATTTCGGGTTAAAACTAAAGAGGTTGGGACGCAGAGAGGAGATAATTTGCAGTATAAAGAAAACATGAAAAAAACAAAACAATGGTCTGATGTCTAATGAACAGAAAAAAGACAAACATTGAAGATAGAAATACTTCTAATTTATTCTCTTTGATCCCAAAACAAAGCGTTATCTCCACTAATGAACATTTGCTCTGGATTTGGTTGTACTCACAGTCCTCAGGCAGCACTTCTTTGAACTGTTCATAGTAAGAGTTCAGTCTGGACAGACTCTCTGTGTTAATGATCTCCTGCAGGGATGTGTCTCCGAACCTGCCAAACACACAAACGCACACAATTAAGAAAAAAAAAAAGCTGAAATTGATGAAACGGCTCTTCTCTGTTGCCACGGCGCCTCCGACTGGCTCACTTCTCGGCCAGCGTCTGCTGCTCGTTGATGCCCACGTTGAAGTGGACCGGCTGGACCCTCAGCAGCATGCCGCTCTGGATCTCCCGCGGCAGGGCGTCGAACATGGTGCCCGGCAGCGGGATGCGCACGTTGAAGCCGTCCCTGTTGCCCGTGATGATGGGCAGCATGTCGGGGGCGGAGCTTCCCGTGGCCTGCGTGACCTTCCCGGCCCCCAAAAAAACGAGACGGGGGCGTGAATAAACGGCGCCGACTGTCCCCGGTCGGCTGGCTTTTGATGGCCCGTTTGCTACCTTAAAGGTGACGTTCCGCAGATCCATGATGCCGACGCTCATGTCCTCCAACATGGCGAGTTCTTCCCCTGCGAGCGCACAGAAAAACAGCCCCGAGGTCACACAGTGGAAGTGCGACGGGGAGGAGCTCGGAGCTAAGGGGGGGGGGCCTGCGTACCGTAGGTGCTGAGCAGGGACTCGGACTGAGCCAGCAGGCCGATGGTGTAGAGCTGCCGCAGGAAGCCGTTGTCACGGAGACAGTTCCTCAACTTGATGATGAAGCCACAGATGAGAGCGGTGAGCTGCAATGATGTGCACACACGGAGCGTTAGAGTGGGGCCAGAGGAGGAACGGGTGGCTGTTTGCGCTCCACTTGAAGCCCTACGTGTTTCAAAACCTGGTTTTTGATGGTGATAAAAACCTTTTCTGAACCGCAGATGAAATGAAGTCACAGAAAAACATTGCTGGAAAACGACAGACCAACAAATGGTCTTTTTTAACCTCTGCTTATAATTCTTAGGATGAGAGGAACCCCTACTTAACTGCATGGCTTTTACACGTGTACTTTTATATAGACAAACAGCCAGATTAAAGTCGAGCTTTGGTAACTTCGCTGGTTTAGAGCATTCAGGGGTTAAAACAATGACAAGGAGACAAGACAATTTTCACCTGCGATGGACATCCAAGTTGAACAAAACACACACCAAAAAGGAAAAAAAATAATTTTAAAAATGTACATCTCAGTCTCTTCAGGCCTCGTTTAGCATGTCAAACATTACGGCTGACGATAAAATTGAAATTTTGCAAAATAAATGTCTCTGCTTTTGAGCTTCCAATCAGCTAAATCCAAAGAATGGTCTCTTAAACATAAACTTTCACTCAAATCCTTGGGGATTTCCCCTAAATCTGCAACTAGCTAACTGTGTGCTGAAAAGGTTTTTGCATTTCAGTCTTTGTGCCACATTCATAAACCGTATGTCGTCATCTTCATATTCCTTCTATTTATCAACCTGTGGGATAATGACTGATTAGGGACGACAACTCAGTTGTTCCATGGCCTTTGGTTTCTGACAAACAACCGAGTTTGATGAGCACATGAGCACATGCGGCGTTCCACACACGACTGAAGCAGTGGACTGACGTAAATGGCAAAGAAACATCTGAAATATCTCCGTGGGGGTGTAAAAAAAACCCTCTCTTTTTCCAGTCCTGTTGTACTTCTGAATGTTTAGCAGTCATATGAGTGTTTGACCTCTGTGCAGGAAAATATTTACAGATTTACGACCTCCGCTTTGAGTCACCCGCGGACGAGAGCACGAGCTAATGGTTTTAACGCTTTTATGCAATTCTCCGCGTGGGCGAGCAGGCCTGATTTGCGTGAGGGACGTGCTGACCGTCTGGCAGAAGACCACGTCGCGGCGGTACTGCAGCGACAGGTCCATGGAGATGGTCGGGGCGCTGTCCTGCATCAGGAGGAACACCATGGACTTCTTGGCCTTGTCGCTCATCATGGCCACGCACTCCGTCAGCGTGGTGAGGAGCGGGTACAGCGCCTCGCTCCACTCGCCTGGTGAAACCACAGGAGTGGGAGGATCAGCCGACGCCGACAGTGAATCGTTTTTTACAAAAATAAAAAAAGCGAGTGGGAGTGGGTTTACAAATTTAGGTTTAACTTGACTTATTAGACACAGAAACAAGACAACGGATAAAAAACGGAGACACAACGGAAAAAGCAGAAGCGCTGAAAGAGGCTCGTTCTGTCTTTCGTAAAGTTAAAACAAAAGAAAAAAATTTGAGTGAAAATAACCAATCGCGTATAAAAAACAGAAACTGTCTGATGTCCGGTAATCAAAGCAAAGAAAATGATTTACTCAAGCATTTAATTATGAAAAAATAAAGAAAATCGGCCCTATCTTCCTGGAGGAGTATGGGAGGGGAGCAGCTCTTACCTGGGTAGGCCTCCTCCACACTGGGGCTTCCATCTGGAAGAGGAGGGGGGAGGAGGTGTAACATGCACGGTTAGCAGGCGCAGGAAGCCACAGAGGGCAGCAGAGACAAACACAAAACACTGCAGACCGGAGTCAAAGGTCGACCAAAAGACTGCTCAGTCCAGCTGGAGAGAACAATTGGAAGGCCACCGTTTTTCTACCGTCTGAAGAGCAGCGAGTCATATTCAAATGTTCGCCGCTAACACGCCACAATGACCCCAATTTCTTCTCAGAACAGAAAGATGACACAAAAGTGTGGATGTGGATGTGTGTGTGTGTGTGTGTGTGTGTGTGTGTGTGTGTGTGTGTGTGTGTGCTTAACCTGAACTGAAATTCTATTATAGGAAATTAATGGGTAGCAAGACAATTGCCTCCGATTTAGTCATTTCCTGTCAGAAGGTGTTGAAACGCTCACAGCCTCATGCGGCTGCCTTATTAGTTTACTCAAACCCAATCTAAAAAATAAAATTTAAAAAAGGATGGAATGGTTTGCAAAAAGTGATGGCTGCAGTGCATCTAAAAAAAACTGTCGGGACAAAATCAATAAAGACCTGGAAAACAGAGTGCTCCTTCAAAAAAACAGCTAATGTCATTTATGGAATGGTAAAATGTCCCCTGTTCGACAGGAAGCCTGTGAACCTTTCTGAGGTAAAAAAACGCCCTCCACTCTCCCCTATGTGACTACAGTTTTCTGATACATAATTGATGGATTTTTTTGGCAGATACGACCCATGGGCTCTTGTTCACTGCATTCTTTTCCATTATCCGTCTCTCATAACTGCCTCTGTGTTCAGGTTCGAGCAGTCCGGGCAGACGAGTGACTCCGGTCTCTAACAACATGTCCAGTAAGCACATCTTTTCAGATACGACTGCTGACGGTGACGGAAAAATCAAACACAAAAGGACAACATCTGACGATATAAGATGATGAAAAAATAGTGAAAGAGTGCTTAAAGGTGAGAAAGTGAAGGGGGTAAAAAATCAGGAGGATTCCTCAGTGTCACATGGCCATGAACTAAAAGAAGAGGGAGATAAAAGGAGCAGAGGGAGAGGAGGGCATAAAAACTAACATACAGTTTTCTTGTTCGGGGCTGGGAGGACGAGCAGAGGAAGAAGATGGTGGTTCTGAAGATGATGATGATGGTGATGATGATGATGGTGCTAATGGTGTAGATTCCTGTGACATACTTCCTGGGTTGATCCAGAAAGCTCTCCTCTTTACATCACCTTTTCACAGCCACACACACAAAGACGTCATTTCATACTAACAACTCTTTTCCCCTCAGCTATTGCCCGTAAACCTATTCCAAACAACAACAGCAAAAAACAGAGGCCAGCGTTACCTTTCTTACTACCGCCGCCCTGCAGGTCACTCTGGGAACTTTCCTGACTGCCGTTGCTGGGCCTCCTCTCTTTCTGAAGCAGCTTGTCCACGCGCTCGATGATGCACTCCAAAGATTTGTCCACGTTCACCCACACCTTCTCCTGAGAGGAGACGCGAATGTTTCAAAAGATGCCTCTGCTGTTCTGAGCAATGTTTTAAGAAACACGTTTTCACAGAGAAAAGCTGCAATAAAACCATAATGGAGCATATTTTCGTGTTTAACGAAGAAGAAGATATTTAATCTGTGCCCATGCTGTCTACAAAAGAACATAAGGTATAAAAGGAATGACTGATGACGACCCAATGACTGATGTGGTACGATGACCTACCCACTCCTCCTCGTGCCAGTCCACATGCAGGGAAGACCGACTGTTGCGACCGCTCCACTTGGCGAGCAGCGTGTCCTGGTCGTTGCGGAGCACGACCTGCTCCGAGTCGGCGGAAGGTGATGATTTGGAGGCAATGTAGTCCGGCCGCGCTGCGTTCAAAGCCTGAATGGCCGAAGCCAGCAGCTTGCAGTCGCACACGGTCACCAACTGACGAGTCTGACCGGGTGACAAGAGTTGGTATCTGAGTTTTTATGACGCATGCAATGGAAATATATATATACAGTGGGGGAAATGAGTATTTGACCCCTTGCTGATTTTGCAGGTTTGCCCTCTTACAAAGAATGCAACGATCTATAACTTTAATCATATGTACATTCTAACAGTGAAAGACAGAATCCCAAAGAAAATTCCAGAAAGTCACATCATATGAATTTATAAAAATTGATAACCATCTGATTAGGAAAAAGAAGCATTCTTTGTAAGTGGGCAAACCTGCAAAATCAGCAAGGGGTCAAATACTTATTTCCCCCACTGTATATATATATGTAAAAAAGAAGGCAGTTCATTCATACCTTATCAGCCAGAATAGCCAGCGTCCTCTCCAGTCCGCTGGCCGATCGGTCTTTGGCGGCCCGGGAAAGCCTTTCAGCGTAGTAGCTGACCTGAGTCTTGAGTGTGTTAATGTGGGCGATGATTTCTTTGGCTCGGACTATGTCCTCAGGTATGTAGACGATGGATTGCGAGCTGGAAAGGGCACTGCTGCAGTACGGGAAGACATTTCATCCGCATCAGAGCGCATGCTGACCACACTCTTCCTTACTTAGTATGCAGAGTCATATGTGTTTGTATAAAAAATGGCTGGACTAATGACAGCTGACTGATTTGTTAGAGACATATACATACAGATATAGTGTTTACATGCACATGCCTACTTTTGATGATGGTTTCAAACCACTAATTATGTGAAGATTACATAAAGTCGACCTCAGTCGCGAATAAGCGTTTAACATTGCTTACCTTTCAGATTCAGAAACATTTAAAAAACGACACTTTCAAAGCCAAGATTCGCGTTTGTACAAGACAGAAACTGTGATAAGCACAAATGCATTTTGCTATAGACATTGCATTGTGTGAGGTAAAATGACTTTTTTGTGGAGGTAAAACGCAGTGAAATGAAAATTTAACATCGGAGCCAAAACGAGCAAAGAGCAAAGCAACAACTCACCATTCTTCTTCAAATAAGCTGATCAGAAAAGTAACGAAAAAAAAATTAAGATGAAGCCACAGAAGCGAACTGCAGAATTAATAATGCAGGAATTGAAGAAACAGGACAGCAATTTAATTTGAAATAAAAAGAGGACAATGCTTAGACGTAATAAAGTATTCAAAGTCATTTGAGTCAAATATGAATGAAACAAAAAAATCTGAAGGAGGGGACACATGCACGCTTGTTTGCACAGTTGAACGGACTTACTGTTTCTTTGCCTCCTCGAACTTCTGGATGAGCTTTCTCAACCCGCCATTTTTAAAACCCTGGCAGTGAGCAGCCGGGGCGCCGATGGTTATCACGTCATACGTGTGCTCTGCAGAGGGAAGCGTAAGCTCGTGAGTCAGAGAGACGAAAACCACCACTACGACCCTGTTTTCTGTCTCTGACTGACCGAAGCCCAGCTCATCCTGAACCCTCATCCTCTGCACGTGGAGGTTGGTGGGCATGAACTCCATCTTCCTCTCTGCCTTCAGGTTACTGGCTTTAAATGAGGGACCTAACACGGGTAGTACAGGAAGACAGGTTCACTAATGGCCTCGTCAAAGAGAAGATCATCCTCTCAGAAAGCCGTGGAGAAGCTGACCTCTGTACTCGGTCAGGTCAGATAGGGTTTCCTGGTATGCGAGGATGATGTTCTGGTAGTGAGAGACGATCTGCCGCCGCAGGTTCTCCCAACAGGGGGACAGCTCTCCCAGCTCCTCAAGCTCACACACCCTGTTAGCAGAAAAACATTAGCAAAGAGGTTACTCTGTCAAAATAATACTATGAGCAACTGCATTTTGATTTACACCTTAGTGAAAATCAATTGCCTTAAAAAATAGATAAAATAAGTCATTATTAATGATTCGGGTTATCTTTCCAAAATTAATTTAACGTAACATTTGGAAATCATGCTTCCAACCGGTGACTGTCCTCTTCAAGTCCTGGTTAATGTGTGCGTCTCGTACCTGGCTGCATCCTCCTCCAGCAGCAGTTTGACAAACTGTCGGGGAATGTTGAGCGACAGGACGCTCTCGGCCATCTGCTCCAGCACCCGCAGGTGCTTCCCATCCGTGGTGGGGAAGCGGTACATCCTGGACATGGTGCCTCCAAACACTTAAAAAAAAAAAAACAACAAACATAAAATGAATGTGTTCATTTCACACATTCACAATTTCACTGAGGACTGGTGTTAGAAACAGAGCCGAGTGGGTTTTCACTTCTAGATGAGTCATTTACTCAGATTAGAGAGGTTAATTAAAGGGGTAATGCACTTATTTCCATTTCACGCTAAACGCTGCTGTCCGGTGTTCTCTCCCATGCAAAAGAATCTTTTCCCACAAAGATATCTGGTTTCAGGGTGGTGGTTGGGTCGCAGGACTAAAGGTCATTAACAAGCGAATACTGCATTAACTTAACTGAAAAAAACAAGCTTTATATGGGAAGACGTAGCCTTCAGGGAGAAAAGGCGAGCCACAGAGGCTGTGGCTACTGATGTGGCTGCTTCTAATGGTTTCTCACCTGAACGCAGCAGGTTATCTTTGCACAGGGAGGCGTACTTGATCCGGACACCCATCGACTCCGTCAGGCTCTCATCCACGGGCAGCACCGTCTGCGGGGAGCGGGAGCGCACACGTGAGAGGATGAGGCCAAAGTTTTGCGTCTTTCTGGCCGCTCGAACTTACACGAAAAGGAGACACGTGGAAGATAAACACGGCAGCTCATTTTGGGGCTCTTACCCGGCCGTTGATGCTGTCTGACAAACGTCCGACCGACATCCTCTGATCTGCCTTCTCCTCCATCTGCCAGGCCGATATGGAGACGCTCCCCACACGCTCGTTTTCCGCTGATCTGTCCATCCGAACATACAACCGCATTCAAGTTTTAAATATGCACCTTTTTCTGCCATTTTAAATCAGAACCGATGTGGTTTGTTGCTTTTGATATTTGGCATGAAAGTAGGAAAAAGGAGACCCCTCTCTGCTCCTTCAAGAGGTTATGGAGCTATTGGTCTGACCAAGAGTCTAAAACCTTTATCCTTTCACCTGCTTTCCAGCAGCATACAACGCAAACTTTTGACTGCTCTGACTTTAACACCTAAATCATCCCCAAACTATATTCAAAAGCAATGTAATGCCAAAACCTGAGTAGTTTTGTGACTCGTCCATATCCCTATAATCCCCAAACGCTCACTTTTTAACTCATTCATGACCATGATCTGTATTTTCCGGACCCGAGAAAAGAAATAGGACCGTAAACTGTTCAGCTCTGGTGCGACAAGCACATGGGGGGGGGGGGGGGGGGGGGGGGTGGGTGTTTGTGTCCGTTACCGTAATTCGGGCGGGAGTCTGTGGCTCTTCTCCTGCAGCAGCTCCTTCACAGGAAAAAGCGCCGAGCCAAGCATGTACATCTGCACAGACAGAGGGGCGCAACACTTTACGGATAGCATTCTTTTTTTTTTAATGAACTTGCGCGGGTTGTTGCCAAAGAGTATGAATACCCCCGCCCCCCACCAGCTCGTACCGTCCCCTGCGAGCGGTCCTTCACATCGTAGACGGCCAGCTTGACCTGCGTCTGGTGGTTGATGTTGGAGTCCTGGAAAAATGCGATGCTGCTGAGGAAGATGGGGTTACTGGTGCCCTAAAAAGAGAAAATAGTGTGAAAAATACAAACAAATATAATTCTATTCAGCAAGACATCATTTGCTCTACATTATTTTGTATATGGATTTGTACTCCTCGTTTAATAAAGAGATATTTAACAACATAAATATTTTGTAACTGTTTTTTGAATTTTCACATAAAGACCAAACTTCCACCAAAGTGAAGCTATCATTAATTTCTTCCTTGTTCGGGATGGAAACTCCACTGAAAGTCAGGTAGATTCTGAAAACAAACTCAAACTGTGCCACACGGAGGTAAAATGGGAGGACTCTGACCTCGATGACTTCCGTCTGGGCGTGTTTGGTCCAGAAGGCCTGTGGTGGTGTCGTGCAGCTCACTGCTACAAAGCTGTTGGGTTTTCGATCTAAAGCAGGCGTCACCAGGTCTGTGCACACTGGGTGAGAAAACACAGACACACTACCATTACAGAAAAAAAGACGATAGGTGTCGGGTTTCTCTGGAACACTTTGAATTCCTCTTAACCGGATGTTTAACATTATCCCATAATAATAATAAAAATATCCTAATAAAATGACATCATTTGTGGTTGTACACACCTACGCTGAATTCCAGCACGGGCTCGTCTGGGTCCTGACTATTTCCTGCAAATGAGTCAACAGGCCCTGGCGTTACTAGACAAATACGTGTAATTAACGTGTAACAATGTGTGTCCCTGGGCGGTGGCTCACCTGCGAGGGCCAGGCCGATCATCTCGTTGGAGAGCTCGAACGTGTTGGCCCGGTACACCGACCACGGCCTCTGCGTCCGTGAGCCGGGCTCCCTGCCCCCCGCCATGCTGGTCCCAGAAGACCGGGAAACGGCAGGAGGCCCTCACACACACCCTCACACACGCGGACGCGCACTCCCATGTGACGCGGGGGACCCCCCGTGTGCCGGCCTACGACTGCTCCAGACCCACGGCTGAAAGAGGGAGGAAGAAAAAAAAGACGTGCTTTCTTACCCATCTTTAAAGGATGTTCCATTTTGTTCTAGACTAAACAGAGGTTAAGGTAAAAGCCACAGAAAAGAGGGGCTTTTTTTGGAAAGAAGACGGCAAAACAAGAGAAAGAAGGAAAATGTGAAAAAACTGGGTAAAAGAAAAAAGAACAAGAAGACAAAAGATGCGGAAAAGGAGAAGGAAGATTACTTTAATAATCTGTTCTCATTGGTGAACATCTTTCATCCGTATCCAGATCAATACAACAACCAATTAAAAAGGTATTGTGGTATATATTAACAAAATATATATGAACTGCATTGTAACAGAGTATTAGATGTACAAATGTACCCTCTAATCAGCCATTGCTGCCCAAACATATTCTTTCTGAGTACGTTAAGTCCTCACATGTAGTTTTGGTTGACGTCTTGTCAAGGCAACTGATCACATGATCTGCGATTAGGATGTGAAATTCGAGGGGGGGGACTTGTGGAAACAGAAACAGGGAACATGGGGCAGAAAGCTAAACCGACAACACACCGTCATTTGTCACAGAAAAAAGTTTCTAAAGCGTAAGTGTAGTTTCTAAAGCTATGAAATAAACTTGTGTCTGCAATTAAACCTGGAAAAACAAACAAGGCTGGAGTTTTGAAATTATTCCATGATCCACAATTCAAGATGTATTCAAGCATTGTCAACGCCAGAGTTTAATTTTTGAGATCTCCCTCTGCTGTTTAGAGACATTTAGAGGCAATGGAGAAGTGAGTCTGACCATGATCTGTGGGAATGTCAGTATGTTTGAAAATGCTGGAGCTTTTTTTTTTTTTAAACTACAACACATAAAACTGGGCCTCTCCTGAATCCTGTCCTTGGATCTCCAGTCTGGGACAGTTTTGTCAGCTGTCCTGCTATTGCCTTCCTTCTTCTTTCCGTCCCATTTTGCTAAAGACCAATTAGCCTAATTGTGGCAAAGACGTAAACACGAGGGACCGTAGCGGGCTCAGGCGGAGAGTCGGAGTGGTCTGGTTTAACAATGGCTGGACGCCAAAGTTATGATCACAGACGTCTCTATTTTTTTTCTTCTCAAAAGGGAACCAGCCTACAGTGGAAGGATATTTACAGTCATTTCCACTGAAAAAACGACCCAAAAGGATGCATCGTATAAGACAGAACCCCCATGGAGTGGTCTTGTTCTAAGTGTGGGTCTGGGTTAATAGTTGGTGGCCTAGTTCTTGACGTATGTGGTCCAAGCAGTGACGGCGGCCCACTTTACGAGTGGCCTACATGTGTGGAACACCCGGCGCAGCCACCTGATTTAGATCTGAATTTGAATGAGCCTGTGAGCGGCTTTACGTGCCACAAACGCCATGGGAACACTCGGACATTTGGACGCGTTGCGGTTTCCGGTCTGAGCCAGGACGGCTCGGACAGAAAGTGAAAGCTGGAAGTTGTGGCTTTCTTGACTTTTGGCTCATGAGTCGCTTATCAGCTGGTCAAAAAAAGACTTCAACATGTCTCCAACATGCCAAATCAAGAAGGTAACCGAATGCAGGTGAAAGTGTTTTACACGGATCCTTTCGAAAAGCCAACCGTTGGCGGCACCGGTTCTGGAAAGTCCTATGGACAGGGCAGCAACAACAAGAGAACGACAAGGGTGGAAGCTATTGGTTTAAGATCAGAATGAGGAAACAAATATTTTCACTTGCGTTTTCAAGATAAATTTGAAAAAAAGGGTAGTGTTCATCGGAAAAATGAGCACCAGTTCGAGCTCCTCCTTACAGTTTTTAACAGGGTCAGAAAAATGACAACTGAAATGCAAAGGCATTTTCAGCCATCTTAATTGTGACAGTCTGCTGTTTGTCAATGCATATGAAAATAATACAAATATTTGAAAGGTGTAGATTGGATTCAGAGACTTTCAATGTCCCGTTTTTTGCATCTTTGTATCTTCATCAAAAAATAATAAACGGGCGGAAATAGGAACAGTCGAATGAATCACAGTGAAAACTCCACGTGTTGTACGCCACAAGCACACAAAAGCAGCAGCTGGAAACCAGAGTCAGCAGACAGAATAAAGCCCCGATCTGTTTTTATTGAACGCCCGTGAACGATACGATGCCGTCTGCTTTATTTTTGTGGGAGAGGAACAACGCCGCCTTCGCTGTGCAAGCAGAGGGAGTCCTCAGAGGACCTGCAGTCTGTCACAGAACGTTTATGGAGGAAATCAAAGGAGTCACCATCTACTATAAAGACCAATAAAGACTCCGCTTTAACAGTGATGGGGCAGAGGCAAAAGCGTTGCTTACAAATAGAAACGGTCCCAAAAATATGCCCTACGATCCTCCAAAATGTGTTTTAATACTTATTTCTAATCATGTTTTCCTGCTTGTTGCTTGAGCAACTTCCACCCCATTAAGCTGCTGTGGAAAAACTATTTCTCTTTTTCGAGATGTGAAAAAAAAAAGTAAAATCAATCCCTTCGAACCATCAACCCGGCATCAACAATCACCAAATATAGCGCATTTACTGACAGCGAATCCGGACTCGGAAGAGGACATTATCAGGCTCCAGATATCTCTGGCTTTTGTTTCCAGCCTCTGACGGAAGTTTCCAGCCTCGCGGCCAAATGAAGTCACTTTTTCCATCCCCAAAGCCAAAGAAACATCCCGACCTGGTGAGACGTGAGCTTCCCCAAAGCATTTCCAAAAGTAAGATTTTCGGGGGAACACTCGTAGTTCATAGATTGTCCTGTCTAAGACGCATTTGCAGTGAATGTTTCGATCATAGAATTTTGGAGTGGAGATGCAATCCCTAAAAACAGAAACAAAACAAAAAACATTTTTTCCTCTTCCTTAATTCTGGACAAAGTCACTGCAAAACCTGCTGGAGGCAGACTGAGCACTTTAGATGGATAAACTAAGGTGGAGGGACTGGGGATTCAACATCAGGCCCAAATGAAAGCAGCAAAGGGCCCAGCTGAGGAAGGGGGGGGGGGCAGCCATATACGGTAGCTCCAAATTTAGCCTGCTTTGGTTGAGTGCGAGTGTGTGAGCAGGTTTGTGAATCATATGAACTAGGCCATGTGCACACACACATACACACACAGAGGAATCTGAGCCAGAGCTTCTGACATATAAAAGCGAAATCCAAGATTCACTAAGTGGATTTAGGTTTATTAGAGGCCTTAGGATCCATTAATAGCGCCCCTGTTAGAAAGGGCCTGAAAGCACACGTTTGGACACGCTTCATTCCAAAACCCCTTTGACAAAAACATCTGCAGATTAACACGTACCATTCTCAGAATCATAAGCACTCACTCTCGTAATGTCCCCTCACTTTGATTTCATTATTGGTAGGTACAACCCCTCTATCTGTAACCTTTAACGGCGGAGTTTGACTGGTGGCTGATTTGTGAGGGGGAGCGGGTTTCTTCTGGTTTAGGACTTTCTGGACCTGCTTACGTGGGCCTGCGTGTGTGTATATTTACGAGCCTCCGTGTGTTTACACTCCCTGTCTTCGGTTTCATCCTCGGGCAGAAAAAAGAGGGATTCGGGGACAGGGAGCAGTGCGAGAGCCTGGTTGACCATAAATAGTGAAACCCATATTTTCAGGAGGCCAGACGTCGCTGAGTGAGAAAGTCTGGCCGCATTTCAACACTTTTGCTCTACATTTTGTTCTTTTGTGAGTCTTTTGAAACAGTCGATCTGATGAAACGAAGTGATTAAAGAAGGTCTACTTATCAGCCAGAACTTTAATCAGATTTCAGTGTACTTTATGCTATAACAGAATAACAGTCCCTGACCTCCATATAAAAATTCAGACGACTGATTTGTAGTTTTTTTTAAATTAATATTCTACTCCTCACAGGCCCTTGTTTTCTGGCTGTGGCTCCTTTTGATCTCTCGGCATCAATACCTCATTTGTATGACACCAAACCTACACGTTGTTAAGACAATTCAACATGTTTTCTGCTTTTCCCACCCTTTGCTGTGGGCGTAAAAAAATGCGAATAATCAGACCCAGGGTCAGAGCAGAGGGGTCTTTTAGAGAAGGTGGGAGAAGTCAAGGGGTTGCCGAAATCGGCTCCTTTTCCATGTTACAAACAAACATTTCCTGCGTCAGGGGCATGGCGGCCTTCAGGTTAGCCCAAAAAAACGACGACAGAGCTGCTCCCTGTCTGTGTGTGTGGACATTGGAGGATTGGCATTAGAATAAAGCATGAATAATTTCTTCAGAGGGAAGTAGCAGCTGTAGCTCTTTCACATGAAAATTAGCATCTCCCTCACACACACACACACACAAAAGCACGGCTCTCTTTCACCCTAGGAACACTGCTGCCTATTTTTCTGTTTCTGTTCAGTCGAGGAGAGAAAAAAAAGCATTTAGGGCCACGTTTATGGACACCTCTCTCCAGACACACAGTCTACAAATGTCAGATGCAGGAGAAGAAGATCTTTCAACCAGCTGCACAAGACGATGCTGGAAAAGCAGAATGCGGCCCAGCCATCGACGGCGAGTGTGTGAACCTGTCACAGCCGTTTGAAGCCACCACTTCCTTCTAGTCTTAAAGGAAGTCCCAAAGAAAAGCAGCTTTCAGTCACACTGACAGTTCAGAAACCCCCCTACATCTGTATTCTTATGATCAGTGTTCTTTATAATAAGTATGCATGCCTAATTTAAAGACGCTCATAAACTTTACTATACCAACTGTTTTATTCTAAAACTGTATTCTGTGAAGTGAAGACTGACTATAAAAGTCCCACACTACACATCTATGAACAGCAGAAAAAAAAGAAACCATGACCAAGACGAGCAAGTGAGTGAGAAGAAACCAGCCTGCAAAGTGCCGTGACACGAG